GACCATGATTTAGGTATCTTATTCTTTAACATAACTTCATTCATAACTTCTAGCAATGGAAGATTCAACAATTCTTGTAGTGTTTTATAAAATTCCGCCGGAAGTCCATCTGGGCCTGGTGTCTTTCCATTGTTTTGCTTCTTAAGTGCTTCAGTTAACTCCATTATCGTTATATTGCTTTCTAACATTACTTCAATCTCTTTAGGTATCTGGGGTAGGTTAGCATTCTGTAAGTACTATTTAACTCTTTCATCATCAATATTCTCTTGTTGTATAGTTTCCCGTAATAGTCTCTTGTATAATTTCCTTCTTCTCTTTACTTCCATAGCAAACTTGGCCTTGATCATCTATTAATTGCAATATTTTCCTTGATTCTTTATCCTTTCTCAGTTTATTTGCTAACCATCTACCTGGTTTATTTGCATCTTCAAAATAGTTTTGTTTCACACCTCTGATTTTCTGTGCTAATTCTTCTTTTTCCATTAGCCCCATTTTATGTTTAATTATTTCCATTTTTAACTTAATGTCCTTTTTCTGTGGTATTTTCTGTAACTCTTTTTTAAGTTCTTTATACTCATCCTCTAATGTCTTAGAGGCTAGTCTTTTCGTGGTATTTCTTTTCCTTGTATAGTCTATTATCAAGCCTCTGGCATATGCCTTCATTGTATCACATCCATTCTGCGTTGATGTGTCTTCTTTTTTATTTTCTTTAAAGAAAAAAGGCAGTTCTTTCTCCATCCTCTGTATGAAGTCTTTTTCTTTTAGTATAGTATTATTTAACGTGCATCTAGATCCTCTTCTTTGTCCTTTCCATTTAATTGTCATTGGATTATGATCTGCCCAAATACTTGTTTCAATATTTATTTCTTGAATATTGGCTAACAATTCTGTTGACATCCATATCATATCTATCCTGGACCATGATAAATGTCTGTTTTAATAGAAGGTGTATTGTTTAGTCTTAGCATTTCTTTCTCTCCATGTATCTTTTAAATTTATTTCATCTGTCATTTTAAAAAAGGATTTGGGGAGGGTCTTTCTGTTTTGCTTTGTTGTTTTCTGTATTGTATAGTCCAATTTATTGCCTACAATTCCATTAAAGTCTCCCATCATAACGATATTAGCATAGTCCAGTTCAATTATTTTCATATGTAATTTTGTATAAAATTCTTCTTGATTGTCATTCAGGGCATAGATTGCGATCAGGAGTGTTTTCATATTATTGTCCATTATCTCCATCATTAGTAATCTTCCATTGTCATCCGTATAGATCAATTTTGCTGGGATAATATCTTTAATGTATAACACCACTCCTCTTTTCTTGCATTGTGTCAAAGAAGTAAATGTTTTCCCTAATTTTAGCTGTATCAACACCTGTTCACATTGCTTTTTAATATATACTTCTTGTAGTTAGATTATATCAAATTTTAATTTCTCTATGGAAAGTTTTCCTTCTTTTAACAGCTAAGTCCATTTGTATTAATTGTAATCGGTTTTTTCTCTTCCATTATTATATTTTATAGTTAGGTTTAGCAGTTCTCATAGATCTTGGTTCACATTGTTCCTTAACTTCCACCTTTCCGCCTACTGCACCTTCTTCTTTTTCAGTCGCTATCTGGCAATCCTCTTGGAATTCAATTAGTGACATTTCTTTTGTCTGTCTCCTCTCTCCCTCCAAAGTATTCAGTATAAAATAATTCAGCTTTCTCAATTGAGTCAATTCTGTGTCTCTGTTCTTCCCATGTGAACATTAAACCTTCTGGAATCAGCCATCTATAATTCACCTCTTTTTAAAGTAGAATTTTAGTCAGGAATCGGTATTCTCTTCTCATCTCTCTCACTCTTCTGGGTACTTGTTTTAGGACCACAATCTCCTTATCTTTATATTTCAATATTTCCTCTCTTACTATCTGCAATATTTGTGTTTTAATGGCTTTCTTTGTAAATCTGATGTGAACTTCTCTTGGTAAGCTATTTCTCATTGCATATCTTGTGAAGACTCGAAAAACCTCATCTATTCCATTCATCATCTTCTCTTTGGTTATTTCCAGAACTTCAGCCAAGATTTCAATCATTATCTCAGTTAAGTTTTTTCCCTTTTCTTCCTCTATGTTTTGAAATCTGAGATAAAATTCTGATCTATCCATCTCCCATCTCAGCATCCCACTTTTATCTTGTTCAACCACAGTTAATCTGCTATATATATCTCCAATCTTCTTATTTCTTTGTTTATCTTCTTCAATTTTTTTGAATTTCTCATCATACTTCATCATTTGTTGAATATTCTCCATCAGTTTTTTCTATTCTCTTTTCAATATTCTCTGTTCTTGCTTGTATGCTTTGAATTCCTTGCATTATCATCTGCAATGTCACCTTTTCCTGTTCTTTTTCTTGCTGTAACATCGTCTGTATTGAGCGTTGTCCTCCAGATGGTGAAGAGGAAGAAGTAGGAATTGAAGAACCAGCCGCTGTTAGTTTCCTGCTCATTTTAGGCAATTCCAAATCTTCAGGTTCTTCTAGACCCTAATCCACTCGTGAAATAACCAATTTTAAATCCAAGTAAAAATAGTGGAAAAAAAGAAGTGAGATAGAAAAGAAGTGAGATGAAAAAAAAAGATATCTTCAGGTTCTTGTATACCTTAATCCAATCAATTAGTTAAATAGCAGTAAAAACTCAAAAAAGGAAGAAAAACCATAAACAGAAAAAGGAAAAAAATTGTTAAATCTTGTAGAAGGCAGAAAAATAAAAAGTAAAAAACTAAAGAAATTTCTTCAGGTTCTTCAACACTTTAGTCCAATTAAAAAGTCTCAGGCATGAAAAAGTATACAAAAAAAGGGAGCCACAAAAAAAAATATGGAAGGTAAATAAAAAATGCAGGAGAGGGAGAGAGAAAAAAGACTACTCCCTTAAAAAAAGAAGAAGGAAAACATTAATACTAAGACTCTTCCTTTAAAATAAGATACAAAAGTAAAAATTAGGCTCCAAAAGCAAAAAGAAAGACAAAAGCAGGTTCCAAAAGTCCAAGAGATCCAAATGACTATTACAAATAATAAGCTGACAAGGAGGGGGGGGTGAGGAATAGCCCAACTTAAAAAAGAGAAAAAGAACACATTGCACCTATTTAGTTATCCAAGGCTTTTGTTAATTTTTATAGCTCTCTTTTCTAGAGTCTTATCATCTTTTTTCTGTATACTTCAATACCAGACTCCAGCTACTGATAGAAACCCAGAAGAGCACCTGCAATAATACTCTCCCATGCTCTTCCCTCTATCTTATCAGACAGGCTCAAAGTCCTTGAAAAGAAGTCTGAATTCTTTCTCAGCTTTGTCTGGTCGAGAGAGAAAAAAAGAGAAACAATATTTCTAAGCCTCTAGTTGGCAGTGTTACAAAGTTTCCTCTGTTTTCACTTGCCCCCTCCTTTTCCAAACAAATTATTATAAAAATTAATTAAAAAGGGAAAAAGATTTAGAAAAAAAGGCTAAAAGGGAATCTCTAGCCTAAAATATTGTAAAGACAAAAAGGAGAAGAGACAAAAAAGAAAAAATAAGGTAGAAAAAAAGATCAGTCAGGTTCAAAGTAAAAAAAATCATATATGAAGAGTCTAGCAAAAAAAAGGAAAAGATTAATTTGACTTCCTGTTTAAAATTACCGCTTAATTACTTCTGTCTGAAATTTTACAGATTCTTTCTTAGGGTGTCCTTTTAAATCTTAAAGTAAAGAAAAAATTCTCACCAAACTGGCACACTTTCTCTTTCTATCCTCTTCCGTTTCGGAGCTGTCCCAACTTCAGCAGCTTTAATGGCTGCCTCTTTGCTGCTGGCAAAAAAGAGCTTCTCTTGGATCTACCAGGGACTTTGTGGTATCCCTGGGATCGACAGGATGCACTCTTTACATTCACTGTATCTTCGGGACAGTTTAGATCCGTTTGGACTGTCCAGGAGCAAAGATCTCGGCAGCGATCTCAGACCTCCAAGATCGCATGCCGTATCGTCGTGACGCCAGCTCCGCCCCACTAGAATGTGTTGAACTTTCTTAAGGCAGCAGGAGCTATAAAGCTGTTCCAAAGAGGGGAGAGGGCAACCAATGATCTTCTGGGCAATGACATTAACCCTCTGGAGTGCTTTCCTATCTGCCACTGTGCAATTGGCAAATCATACAGAGGTACAGTAAGTTAAAATGCTCTCTATGGTGCAGCGGTAGAAGGTCAACAGCAGTTTTTCATTCAGTTGTTTTCTGAGAAGTCTCAGGTAGTATAATCTCTGCTGGGCCCTTTTGACCAGGGCTGCAATGTAGGCACCCCAGGTCCTCTTTTAGGGTAACACCCAGAAACTTAAAATTGGCCACTTGCTCCACTCGGTCTCCATTGGTAAGCAAGGGCTGGATGTCTGATCTGTTCCTTCTATAATCCACTATAAGCTCCTTGGTGTTATTGGTGTTGAGGACCAAGTTATTGTCTGCACACCACAAAAGCAACTGGTCCACCTCATCTCGGTAGGCAGACTCATCCCCTCCTGGAGATGAGTCCCACCACTGTTGTATCATCTACAAATTTAGCAATAGTATTACTAGCGTGAGTGGGAATGCAGTCATGCACATAAAGAATATAGAGTAAGGGACTTAACATGCAAGTCACCCTGTGGTGTACTAGTGTTAAGAATAAGGGCTGAAGAGGTATGATTACCTTATCTGACCCTCTGTGAGCGGCCAGACAGGAAATCCATAATCCAAAGTTCCCCTGCTTAATAATTTTCACTGTCAGGAAATTCCTCCTTATTTTCAGATTGGGTCTCCTCATAACAACTTCCACCACTGCTTCTTGTCCCATCCTTGGGAGCTTGTTGCAGAATTTGTTTCCCGGTTGAAGTCAGTTGATGCCCATTATTACTACTCTGGTGGAATTATTCACAGTAATTGTCCTGTATGATTCTGAATTCGATAGACAAGTCGGCTATAATAAGGTGGCTTATGTCTCTTCCTTTCCTTTCCTGTGGCACTGAAGGAATCTTCTTTGACCAGTGAGTGGACTGAAGTGCCCAAATCCCTGGGCTTCGAGATGCCTAAGCAGGAGAAGCTGCAGCCGCCGCCAGTGAAGCTGAAGAAGAAAACCATATCCTCTGCTTCCCACCAAACTATAAAGGAGTGTTCCAATGTGCCACCATATATCCAGCAAGAGCAAGATATACCTCCCCACCCCATCGTTCCCATCTCAGTCATAAGAAAGGTGGGTGAAAGCTGGTACCTTCTAAGACACATACGACTGTTCCTCCCCTAAATGGTTCCTCCTGTTTCGCCAATGTCAAATGCTTGGGGCAGGAGGAGTTGCTATATTTGTTAGACCTTCTTGTTTGCACTTGCCTGAAAAAGGGAGCAACGGTGAAATGAAAACAGAAGGTTACTTTATAGGGTAGGTGCTGAAAAAGATAAAGGCATGAGTAATCGAGGTTAAAAACAAAACTGAATATCTGATCACTGAAATAGACTGAAATAACTTACTAATAAAGATCACTGATTCATAGGTTTGGGAAAGTGTCTGTGTGTGGGAGGAGAGCATCGGAAAAGTTGGGCGGCAATATCCTGAAAGTCTCATGCTTTGTAAATTTTTAGAAGATCGTTGTTGTTTGACTTAAAGAACACAGGCATTCCTGGATGCACTGGCTTTTCATCTTTAACGGTGTTCATTTGGCTAAGACAGAGATTGGGACCTGGCATTCTTGTTCATATCATTTCCAAAAGCTGCTCTCGCTTAGCTTATTTGGCATTGATTTTTCTTGAAAGCACTGCATCGCAGATGCCTTTTAGTACAGTACACTAGTATTTTATTGATTTTCTTCCTTTAAAATGGAGGAGGGACATGCAGAAGCCACACATTTAGTCCCCTCCTAAATTTGTTGGCTGTACCAAAACTGGTTTCAAATTGCAAACAAACTTGAATTTTTCAAGTATCTTTCCTTCTCTCTCTCTCTCTCTCTCGTAATATGCAGGAAAAAAATGTAGATTTTGCTGTGCATGTATTCCTTTGAAACTGCAAGGCCTTTGTTGACTTTCACACCCACTTGGTAGTTTATTTAAAATATGTTTTATCTTTTTTAATTATGTTTCTATGCGACACCTAGTTTTCAAAAGTCAAGCAGAGAGTGATCTCACAGGTGGGTGTGTGTATTGTGTCCTGAGCAAGATTTTTTCCAACAGTAATGAATTAAATGAACATGTTAACATGGTACAATTAGACTTGAGAAAGAGCAGCAATGATATACTGCTGGTGGTAGAGAGACCACTTGTGTCTCATTTTGTAAAAACTACAACTTGTATGTAGCTTGAAACATTAGGTTTAAAACCTCCCTTTATAGGCTCTGATATTTTGTATCTCATAGGATCCAGATACCAAACTGCCTGTAGTCAATCTCCTTATTGCCACCTCTCCCCAAAACAAGCAAGAATATTCAGAACCAGGTGGGAATTGTCAGGCATCCAGTGACTCTCTGGTAAGCTCTAGTTTAAGGTGACTTTCCTTGTCAAATTACCTCAGTGTTCTGATTGCTTGCTGAATTTTTTATTTGTTTATTTAGCGTATGGCATACAATGTCCGGGAAATATACGCATGCTAGACACAATGTAACCCTGACAGCCTAGATTGCTATCCTTAGTGCACCATTGGAGGTGAATTAGTTTTACACCAATTAAGTAACAGCGCTCAGGTTGCTCGCTCTTCCAAACTTCTCTACTAGTCTCGCCTTGCCTTGTGTTGTGATGCCTCATGTCTGGCCAGGTCCGTTGCCAGCTTCTACACTCTAGTTTTTTTCCCAGTGAAGTGGTACCCATTTGTCTGCTTGCAACGTTGCATGATTTTGAACTGCTGCGTGGGCAGGAGCTAGGGGGTCAAGCGACAGGAGCTCAGTCCGTCTCACAGAGCCAGACTCAAACCATTGGAGTGCAAACCATTTCTGGCCAGCAGTTCCAGCATCATTAAGTCCTACCGGAACATGATGGCTTAGTGAAATGATTTTCAGTTATAATTCAAGTCTTTCTCCTTACCTAGAGTATGGTATGAATATGAAACTGTAGGACAAAAGGAAAGGATATCACCCACTTAATTGAAATAATAGATTTTGTATAGACTTAGCAATCCTTCCAATTTAGAACTGAACAAATTTGAATTACAATTTGATGCTTGCCAAATTTTGACCTGGGAAAAATTTAATTTCTCAATCCTTATTCCACCCAGGTTTGGCTGGTTTCAAAAAACACTTGGACCAATTCTTAGAGGTCAGTGACTATTAGACTTGATGGCAGTGTGACTGCCCTTGAAGGCAACCTCCTGAGAGACAAGTGGGATTTGTGTGTGTGTGAGCGTGCGTGCACGCGCGCAGTTGATCGGCCACTATGAGAACAGACTACTTGATTAGATGGACAAAGAATGCAATCCAGCAGGGAACTATTTAACGTTATGTTCTTATGGCTTTATTTTAATGGATTTCCAACCATATAAGAAATATTTCTGGGCCCATGCATTTAAAGAGATGTTTCAAGCGGTCTCTTGCCTGCCTTGTAATCACATGTATTTTAATTTCTCTATATAATCTGTGCTTCAGCTTCCTTTGAAATATCTTTTGTGCAAATCTGATGTCAGATTTGCTGTCTGAAATAAGGTTTGGGCACCGAGAAGTCTGAGAAAGTCCTATTTGTTGGCATTTCCAAATTAAACCTTGTTCTTGTTGCTACAGGTATCGGCAGGATTCCCTCAATTTAAGAAACTATCAGGAACACAAAGCACAGAAGTGGTAGTTCTTGATGATCCAGAAGACAATGAAATAGGACTATTGCAGCAAATTCAGCCTCCAGTGGTGAGTAATGGGATGATTTTGGGCACTGTGATAATCTGCATTCTTTGGAGGTTTCTTTTCTGGTTGTTGATCCTGGCCAAGTTTGTTCCTGAATCTGGGGATGAGAATCACAATACATATGGCCAGCAGAAGGTGATAGATATGCAACAACAGATATTGAAATCAGTGAGGTGAAGGAGAAATTTTTGACTGTTTGTAGGGTGTTTTTTTTTAACAATAAGTGATTTAGGGAGAGGTGGATTGCATGGAAACCTTGTTTTGAAAAGTTTATTATGGTCCTTGACCAACCATAATACCTGATAAGAGATAGGATACATATTGTTGTTCCAGCTTGCCAACCATCTTTGTTAAACAAGGATGCTGTCCATTCAATCATATCCAGTTCTCAGAGACTCTATAGACCAGCTGTCTCCACATTTTCCAGTCTTTTACAGCTTCTTTCGGTTGTTTTATGCTCTGGCTGGTGTCAGCTTTGATTATGTCTAGCAACTGTGTTTTTGGGCGGTGTTATTTCCTTTTATCACTGACCATTCCAAGCAAAACTGTCTTTTCCAATGAGTTTGATTGCATGACATGGCTGAAATAAGTAAATTTTGTGATTCTGCCTTCCAGCAATATGCCTGGTTTTACACACTCCATGCTACTTGCTTGTTTGTCCCTTTTGCTGACCAAGGAATGTGAGGAGCCTTCTCCAGCACCACAGCTCAAACAAACTAATTTTCTTCCTGCCTAATTTTTTTTTTAAATACTCCAACTTTCGCAATTGTAGGTAGCTGTGGGAAACCTGATAGTGCAGTCTAATCTGCATTTAGTTGCCAGGCAATTCATGCTCATCATTGCTGTGTGACCCAGTACAATTTAACTCTTATTTCTGGTCTGCGCTCACTGCTTTGATCAATGTGCGATCCTAGAGAAGTGTACTTGCACACTTTTATTTTTATTTTAAAAACATTTTTATTAAGTTATAAAGTATTATAAAATTCAAAATAAAAAGTAAGTAGAAGAGCAGTGAGGGGGAAGGGGAAAGGGGAAGAGAAGTGAGAAAAGATAGTGGGGGGTGGGGAGAAAAAGAGGTATTGATTTCCAAGTTTCTCTGTTTTAGTAAAATAAGGCATTAACATCAAATCACAGCCTTTTGTTTTTCCATAATAGTATGAACAAGTCATTTCTATAAAGACCAATCAATCTAATTTGTAAAACCCAAAGTCAGAGTTTCATTCTTTTCCACATTAAGCATGAAGTTCAAGAAGTGGTTTCCATGTGGAAACAAAAGTACTTATGTTCTTTTCTTTAATCAGAGTAGTCATTTCAGCCAACTCCATCAACTTCTGCAACAATTCTTCTATGGTAGGTAGGTGTCTTTCCATTTTTGTGCATACAATAGTCTTACTACTGTCAACATATATAGTAACAGAGTTCCAATTTTTTTCTCCAATTCTTTTTCCTTTAGTTCCAAAAGGAAAAATTCTGGTTTCATTTCTATCTCCATTTTCAGGATTTTCTGTATTAGAGTGTGAATCGTGCTTTTTTTTTTTGCTTTATCACATATATCACATCATAGATGATAAAAACTAATCTCTTCATTGTCAATGTTATGTTCATTCCCCACAGTGGTCATTAGCTTAGTCTTTTTGATGTTTAGGAAGAGGCCAAATCTCTTGCTCTCTTCTTTAATCCCTTGGACCTTCTTTCAAGCTCTCTTTGGTTTCTGAAAGGAAAGTTGTGTTGTGAGCATATCAAAGATTGTTGATATTCCTTCCTCCAATCTTTACCCTGATTTTTTGTTTTTCAAATTCCAACTTCCTTATGATCACTTCGGCATACAGATTGAATACGAAAAATGAAGGAATGCAACCTTGCTACAGTTCTTTTTCTGTCTTGAACCTATACGTGTCTTTATGTGGTATTCAGACAATGGTTTCCTGATCTGTGTACAAGAGACTGCATCAATTTAACCAGATGTGTTGACACCCCCAGGTCTTCTAGAACAGAGGCCCCCAACCTTTTGGACACCAGGAATCGGTTCCATGGAGAAAGGTTTTTCTGGGGACTGGAGGGGTTGCGGTTTTGCGTGCTGCCTGCATCCCGTGATGGGGCTTTGCTTGTTTGCACAGCCCAGTTTCTGGCATGACGCGGACCAGGGCCAGTCCATGGATTGGGGGTTGGGGACCCCTGTTCTAGGACTCTCCAAAGCAAATGATCGATATAATTGAAGGCTTTCTTATAGTAAATAAAGCAGATGTAGAAGTTCTTTAGATGTTCTTGAGATTTTTTTCATGATTCAGAGTAATTTGTAATATAGTCACTAGTGCCATGATCCATTCTGAAACCAGCTTGAATATCTAGTAATTCATTTTTTGATGGATGGCATCAGACACTATTGCATGATCTTGTTGGGAGTATTTTCCTGGGTCCCTTTTCTTCCAAGCTGGGAAAAGAGCGCAAGTGTTCAATGTGTAAGATGAACTGCTGGTAGGGAGGTCTCTTTTTTTAATTCCAAAAACAACAACAGAGTTCGTTTTTGGAGTAGCTGGCCATTGACTGGTACATTAGCGAGATTTTTTATGGGATTTGAGATCCTTTGTGTTATGTTTCTGAAAGAAATGTGAGTGTGATACATGCTTTTATGACCAGAGGAACTAGAAGAAATATCTTGCTTATTATCTTCCTTATCAGTAGATATTTTCCTCTGGGGCATATCTTATCTTTTCCTTTTCAGTAGAGAATTTCCTCTGGGGCATATGGTTCTTATTGCTGCCCTCCTTGGGTGTAAGAAATGTGGGCATAGATGTGAAATTCTCATGCTTTTTAATCTGATTCGCTTTCTGTAATCAGTCTGTGAGTTTTATTGCCGTTCTGTGGTTTTTTGAGGTCACATTATATCTCTGCCTTAATTGATCAATGAAACAATGTACCTTATGAATGGAGACAAGGTCTCTCCGGCAATAAGCTTTTCTGGCTGTCGGCAATGAGTGGTTTAAAGGAAAAGGGAGAGACGGGTATTTTCCCATGGGATTTCTCACTTAGGGAATTTTCTGGTGGGATCTAATTTTTTTGAGGGCGGCTGAGTCAAAGTAAATAGTACAGTCTTCAGGAGAAAATAGCAAGAAGGATGATGGCAGCTGTGCAATAATTGGAGCAATCATTGGAGTCACCCTTTTTTTGGTATATTGTGGCTTTGTATATGTTTCCCAAATCTTCCGACACAAGGCTGTGGTGATTAAGGGTGAAACAGGCCTAAGAAATTCTGCGGCCTTGCGGGGGGGGGGGGGCGGGGCGGGTTGGGGGGCAGTTGCCTACACAACTTCTTCCTGAAGGATGACTGGTTCTATTTCTGCTTCCCTTTCCTTGTCATTCTGAGAAATTTGGGCCTCTTTGTTGCTGGTATACAGCTTTTCTGTTTATTCTCACCATCTGTTCTTAACACCTTATGGGTGAGACAGTTCTTTCCCTTGCTAGTTTTTGAGGCCGCTTTTATGAGCATAAAATGTTCAGATCCTTTGGACTTGCGGAAATGCTTTCCTGAGCCTTTCGAGCAATCATTTTACCCTTGCTTGCAAGTGTAAACTTTGTTGCCTTTCCTTGATGAGCTTTGGAAATTTGCTTTTAATTTCCTTGCTTCCTCCCATTTGCCTGCTGCTTTGACTGCTTTTCTTTGCTTAGCTGTCCCGATGGTTTCATCTGAGAGACACTTGCATTTTTCTCCAGCTTCTTGTTTGTATGTGATCAACTAAATGCAAATTTCTGTAAGAGCAGTAGAACTGAAGCACTTTGTCTCTGGCTATGACTTTTTGAAGATGCCTTATATATAATCTCTCTAAAATTCAGAATCCCACATTTGATATTTAAAAGCCAATTTAGTGCTGTCTAGAATATAGAGATATTAAAACCAAAAGTAATTCTGTAAGACTCCCTTGCATTTTTTATAAGAAAAATAAAAATTAATAGAAACTAGAGCAGTTAATCTGTAACAAGGAATATATAACCTATAATTAAATAAATGGGCCCATGCCTACATTGGTTGCAAACTGTAAATAGGTTTTCATTAAATATTCTCAAAATCAATTGAGATGATAATTCAAGGAATTTTGGTTGAGCTACTACTCTGGCTTCAAATATCACAATTGCAGATGGTACATGATGATCCCTACTAGTATGACAAACTATTAATACCTCAATTGCAGATTAGTTTGCAATTGCCATAAGATGCTAAAGTGTTTTAAAATATTATTTACCAAGAGACAAAGATGGTGAACTTAAAGAAAAAGATCGACCTAACTTACTTCTATTATCCGAAATGCTGTTCTCTCCCCCCTCTCCCATTTAAAACATCAAAAGCTTTTTCAGTTCTGTTCCTGTTTGTTTGCCATCTATGTATTTGGAAAGCCAGGAGAGTCTACAGAGTAGTATGACTGCCAGCAGTTGCTAGCTTGTTTAGTTCACGATGTTGCACTATCTAGGGTGCACCACAAGGAAGTGAACTAGCTGATATTTTTAAAACTATAAATGATGCTGTGCTTCAATGGTTAGATGGCCTGGAGTAGACTCGCGGTGTCACGTTGCCGTCATGTGACATATCATGTTTTTCCTTCGCAAAGCTGGGGTGGGAGTGGACTGCCAGTGATGCATCTGGCCTGTGGACCGCCAGTTTGACACCCCTGGCCTAGACTTCGATATTTGACCATAGATCTTTTTAACATTTATATTTTATTGGGTTCTACTAATCTAGTTGAAATGTTAATTTATATTGCTAGTCCATGTATGAATATGCCATATGCTGAATAAATAAATGCGATCTATGTTAGGTGATCTTTTTTGTGAAGCTCACCATCTTTGTCTTTTGGTAATTAATGTTTTAAAATACTTTTGCGTCTTATGGCCAGATTGGGTGGATGAAAGTTAGTACTAGTTTGTAGTAGTCAACCTTCAACTGTAGAATTAACAAAAAAAGTAAAGGAGAGACAGATAATATCAATATTTAATTCCTTTCCACATTTATATAAGGATGGCTGTAAATATTAACCATATCTACCTAAAGTGGGGTTTCTTAATTATTGACACTGCCTCAATTGCTAAACCATAGTCTTATGTTGTCCCCTGTTACTGTGATCATCCACTTTCAAATAAAAATAAATCTGTCTTTGGGCCAAACCATTCCCCCCCTTGCAGATTAACACTTCTATTTTTAGATTGGCAAATAAGGATAAAATTAAACCCATCACTTTTACGGTGACTTATTAAAATGTGACTGTAAAGATCCTTTGGGGTGATGTTGTTGTTAAAAATCTCAGCTAAAATGAGAGAACTATTCATGGAGGCAAGACAATAAAACCTCTAGTTTGCCCTAGTTCTCTTCATTCTGCAGTCAGTGCTGAAGAAAATAAATATTAATACTCAATTCACTTCAGGATTTAAACATATACCAGAATTAAAGTTATACCGCAGAGAATGCAAAATGAGGATTGAATTGAAAATTAAATCTATAAATATTAAGGAGGCCTTACTTTTCAACCCCTTTTCAGTTCCATTCAGAGAACAAGTCACTTTACCTCAGTATATACCCCGGTTCTGCAGGAACTCATTCTCTTTCATGTCTGGGCACTCACTATATTAGTTTCCATAAGTCAGGAACCTTGCATAAATCTTTCTTAATCTATCTACATCTAAGCAATTGTATAGTTTCTTAGAACTGATTCTTGCTGGCCTTCTCAGTCTGAGGATTCCAAAAGCAAAGGGGACTCTGTAAAATTTAAGATTGTTAATAATAGCTTCCAAGTGCTTTGACTACAACCTACATATTTGTTGTATGGCTAAGTCTCTCTCGCTTTAGTAAGATTTCCAGTTCCTTCATCTTCAGTAAGGAATACAAACAGTTAATTGGTCTCATTTCTTTGCTGCCTCTTTCGATACAGTAGGCACCCTACATTTACTTAAGTTTTGCCTTGTCAAGGACTCAGATACAGTAACTGCTGTAAAATATTTGAAGGAATTGTTTTGAGGGAAGGATTTGAAACATTGTTGGCTAGCATGCCAACAGGTTTCAAATTCCTATCTGTCCTATTTTTGTCACTGTAGTTAATAGTTGAGTTTCCTTTTACTGAGCACCATATTAGAAAATTTTGAAAAGCAATTAACAAATCTGAAAGGCAAATGAATCTGTTTTTAACTTTTAACAGCAGTAGTGGAATTGCTGTGTAACTAAGTATGATTAAGTATTTACAAAATTCTCTCCTTTCTTGTTGAGCTTGGCAAACACGCCACTACAGTAGAATCAGGTCACGGTGGTCAAAATGTTCATGGGAAAGTTGACTTGGTGAATATGCAATTGTCTTTCTAGAACACTGTCCTTCATCAACTCTTTTGAGTGTAACAAGAATTATAATCTGGTTACATTTGAATGAGTGAATAATCTTTGTCTTGTCCAGGTTTTTTTTTAAATTATTTGATCCCTGCTGAGGCACAATCTGAATCTGTTATCTAGTTTATCTCAAGGCTACTTTTATACAGGAAGTCTTCCGTATTTCTGTTGGACAGTGCGATGGATATCTTTTAATTCATATATTTTGCTAACTGCCACGGATTGATCAAACAACAATTAGTCTCTTAATGTGAAGAAACACTTGTAGTGATAAAATATGATAAAACCTTTTTGGGAAGCATTTCTTCCTGATCACAGCTCACAAATAGAAGCTCTCTCAAGGTACATCAGTTATTCCCTCATATTTTGGCGGAGATTAGTTCTTGTTTAAATACCAAAATAATTTGTGATGGAAAATAGTTCCCTGTTTTCTACAAATCTGTCCAAGCTAGAGAAGGATTTAAATTGCAGGCAGTCCTTGAATACAGAGTACTGAATGTCAGGGACCTTGGAGGTCTTCTAGTCCAGAGGTTGCCTACCTTTTGGATCTCAGGGACCACCAAACTCAAATTTTTAAATCTTGCGGACCAGAGACCCTGGGAAAATCCCCAAAAAAGTCTGCAGGAAAATTCCCCACCCCATTTTCCTATTGATGGATCTTTCTTTATTTGCGATCACAGGATACTGTCACCAGCTCCGTTCTCAGAGAGAGACTTTTGGCTTCATGCAAGGAAAGCAGCAGAAGTCTTTCTTTCTCTTCCCCAAACTCCGCCAGAAATGAGTCTTTGCCAGCGCAGCCTCTTGGAGCAGGATGCCTTGCAGGGTCCCAAAGACTCATTTCCGGTGGAGTTTGGGGGAGAGAAAGAAAGGCTTTTGCTGCTTTCCTTGCGTGCAGCCAAAAGCAGAAGAAAGCTACCTGGTGGCCAGGCAAGACAAGTGGACCAAGTTCCCCCCACCTCCGCCTTGTGCTCCCGCGGGCCATGTGGGTGGTGCAGCCTGGATTAATTACTTTGGGGGTGACATTTCTCTGCAGACCACCAAATTTTTCTTGTGAACCATCAGTGGTCCCTGGCCCACTGGTTGACGACCACTGTTCTAGTCCACTTGACTTACAATTGTTTGTTTAATGAGAACTCTAAGTTATTGATAGCCTTGGAAAAAGTGGCCTATGAACTCTCCTTGAAGTTATAACTGTCCTACCACTCCCACAACCATGTGATTGCAATCCAAACTTTGCTGCAAGACTTTTCTTTGTGATGGTTGCAGCGTCTTGTGGGTCACATGATAGCAAGCTTCCCAGCTGGCACTTGGCAGCAGTCAATTGGAGAAGACAGATTCACTTTATGACTACAGTGACTTATAATGGAAATTCTGGCCCCAATTGTGGTTGTAAGTCAAAGATTACCCCTACCTATTATTTCCTTTAGTAAAAAAAAAAGTCCATCAATTTTTATTTGATGATGAATTTATCACAGGTAAGTTCTCTATGAGAATTCTGTAAGTTCTCAAAATATTAGCTTCTTCTGTGAGCTCTTATACTCATCAATCAAATCAATTGAATCTTGTCAGCATTAGTTTTGCCATTTGACTGAACATCGCCATATGCAACCTTCACTATTGGCTTCCAACAAACGAAGTAAATAAGAAAACGAGCTGGAGGTCTCAAATGGTGATCGTGTGACTATGGGATGCTGCGATCACACAGAATTCATCTTAATGACGATACCAAGAATTGCCTTACCTGTCACTGTAAGATGAGCCAGTCACAGGATATCATGCTTTATGACAGTGCCACTTAGCAGTGGAGTTGCTGGTCCCAAGTACCATTGTTAACCAAGGACTACCTGTAGTAGATTTGGAGCAGCTTTCAAACAATGTTTCTGATGTGGTGCATTGTAATGATCTGGTGTAGAGGTTACCAGGGCTTTGACTCACTCGATCAAGATGGAGTTGTATCTGGCATTTCCTGCCATAAGGATGCCCCGAAGCCAAACTGAGACAGGATGAATCCCCAGAGGGCAAAACTGGTTCTTTAGTGCAAATGTTTTCAGAATATGTAAAGCGTGATTTTCTGGGACAGATGGCTTGCATTCTTAAATTGGTTTATCCCAGACCCAAGATTAATTGTAGTTGATAACATATCTAAGGCTGATCTGCTACATTAGTTGAGACCTTGAGTCAATATCCCAATCATGGCAAGGAATGGCTTTGAAAAGGTGGGCCTTGTGCCCTATTTAATCCAAACTGGGGGAAATGGCAGCTTACCTAAAGTTATTTTAGAAATAGGGGAGTCCTTGACTTACAACAGTTCATTTAGTGACCTTTTGAAGTTACAACAGCACTGAAAAAGGGGACTTATCACTAGTTTTCACACTTAAAAAGCATCGTTGCATCTCCACGGTCATGTGATCAAAATTCAGATGCTTGGCAACTGACTCATAGTTACGACGGTTGCAATGTCTCAGGTGCCATGCAATCGCCTTCTGACAAGCAAAGTTAATTAGGGAAGCCAGATTCAGTTAACGATCATGTTACTAACTGCAGTGATTCACTGAACAATTGTGGCAGAAAGGTAATAAAACGGGCCCAAACTCACTTAACAAATGTCTCACTTAGTGACAGAAATCTTGGGCTCAATTGTGGTCGTACGTCGAGGACTGAAATATACTAAAGTGGTCTCTCTCTTTTTCTTTTTTTGCTCTTTCTCTAGATTATGGAGGTCTACAGCCTGGGTGGTGTGCAGCCCCTCTCTCAGTTGGACAGCGTCTTGCGAGAATTCTTGGCTGAGCTGAATGAGATCCCTCTCCCTGCTCATTGGGAGGTGCTGCCTCCATTTGGCAGCCCAGACCTGCGTCTCATCCAGCGCTCGAAACATTCCACCATGTCTGCCGCAGTCATTCACATCCGCCCAGGCCTTTTTTTCCACGTGGTAGTGCAAGATCTGCTGGTGCCTCAGGAACACGAACTTTATGCCAGTCACCCTGCCCGCCTGACCACGGTGGATGAGGTGGTGGAACTGATCTGCGATCTGGAGGCCTACCGACTTTGTTCGGGTTGGCCTGCAGGGTGGCATGCTAGAGAACGGTCTGAGAGCTGTGATGTTCTTGTTCATTCTGGCTGCTGCCCACCGTGCCGGCTCAACCCCTGGCCATCAGGAAGCGGCACTCACTGAGAACCAAGCTGGGCAAGGAATTTGGAGACAGATTCACAGCCCTCTGGTCTGAGAATGGGCAGTTAATTGGAGCTTAATTTTGACACTGGACATGGCTTGGATTTCTGAAAGGATAATTCCTTGCCATAAATAGCTTTATTTTTTCTCCTCATGTTGAATAGCTTGGCACGAAATGATATATTCCTCCTTCTTGTCTTCTTTCTGATTCTCTCCTCTTCCCTGCCTCCCCCCACAGCCCCCCCCCTTCCCCCCGGTAACTTCTGGTGTTCAGAGAGGTTTCTTTTGGCAACTAAACTCCAGTCTTGCTTTTAGTCATTTACTCATTTCCTGCTAGAGAAGTACCAGGTGGACACCGTGTATGACGGCAACTTGGGCTGACCACCAGTTTTGTGCACTTTTAAAACTTTTTATGTGTTTGGCAATGTAGTATTGTAGGTTGATAGGATGGGCATGTGGAGATGGGCAATGCATCCATTTGGGATCCTGTTTCCATTGTTTTTGCTTGCCTAGTCCCATTCTGTCATATCTAACACACTCCCGGAGAATTTTAGATCTACAGTCTGATCTTCACCAGACCCAGGAAGAATGGGATTTTACAATAGAACCTCCTTCTTCAAACAAATCCCGATAGTCTGGACATTTCCCCCCGATTTGTTTAGAACTTGAATTGTTGCCTCAGACATGTTTTCTTTTGCTTTTGTGCTGTGTGGTTTGGATGGGGGAATTCTGTTTGAGGATCTGGAAGACTTATGCTCTGGGGAGTAGGAATGGTCCCGTAAATGGTGCCTGGGAAGAAGTTGGGGAGCTGCCATTCTATATGCTGAGAGATTCCAGCATGTTCTGTTCAGGGAAGTTCTACAGAAGCCATAGCTGTATGTCACTTGCTAACTTGTTTTGTTTCATGTCTTCCTTCAGTGTAGTTGGCAGCAGCGTTAGTAGCACCCTCTATCTGCTCCTCCCCTACGCCTTTTGCAGTCTGTCTGACTTTCATGATGTGTGATATTTTTCTTTCAGAAGAAAAGAATGAAACTATCCTCAAAGAAATAACGAATCAGAACTGGCTTCTATTTTTTTTAACATATTAAAAATTTGAAAGAGCAAATTGATCTTTGGTTCTTGTTTCTGTTCAAGGTGAGAATCCTCAGAATGGTTTGTGAGAACATGGGGGAGAAGAGTAACTTAAGACTGCTGTGTAAATTTCTCCTGCGTCTCGATACCTTTATTTTTTCATGGCTGTTCAATAGGTATGCAAGAGTGACTCACTGACCATCAACTCACAAATTCCCTGCTGAATGCCCATGGACACAGAATTGTACCAAGAGGCTTTTTTTTAGCTTACATAAAGTGGTGGCAGATCTCTTAAATCCAACTGTGGGGTCTCACAAAATCATGTTTTCTGAATACAGTCCTCAGTTTTTTTTCAGATACAGAACTTCTTCATTTGTCTTGTGAGTTTATTTATTTGTCAAAGTTACAGCATTGCCCATTTCACAAAACAAGTGACTCTGGGGGCCATCAATCACTAGAACGGTTAATTAAAAATAATTATTTTGATTTTAAAAAATCACAAACTATAAAAGCAAAGATTTTTAAAAAGTAGTGGGCAAGAGGATGTTAATAATAATGGAACTACCTCACTAGTTCACCAGGCCCTTGGGAGGTACCCAGCTGGCCTGATAGCACAATCAGATCTCGAGGGACCTTTGGAAAGTCAGCAGTAATGGGGCCAGCCTCGTCTTGTGGGGGAGGGGGGGAGGATATTCCACAATGCGATGCCACAGCAGAAAGGCCCAATGCCTAGTGCCCAAAGCCTGTAATTCCCTAGATGACAGATCCTGTTACGTGCTGCCTTTCCTGGATCTGGTGAGATGGGCAGATGTAATTGGGAAGAGGCAATCCTCATACCATGTAGGGCTTTAAAAGTCAACACTGATAACCTGAACTGGACTCTGAAACAAACTGGTAACCGATGCAGCTTACAGCGGAAGTGTAATGTTTTCTTCCCCCCAAACCCCCCCACAGAACTGTTTGCCCTGCGGCATTTTGCAGCAGACAAGTTGCCAGGTACTCTTCAAGGGCAACCCCGTGCAGAGCAGATTACAGCAGTCCAACCAGGAGGTGATCGGTGTTTGTGTAACTGAATAGGGCTCTCAATCTTGGAACAGGCACAACTGGCACACAAATGAAGTTGTGCAGAGATCTTCCTAACTACTACCAACTGCCATCTACCTGTCAGGTAAAGATTGTGAGACCAGAGGGACCTTCAGATTCCTCACAGGATTTGTTTGGGGCTATGCATACCCACCCAATACCAAAGAGGGTATTTCCAGAACCAGAGAGCTCCAAATCCCAAGCTTCTCCGTCTTGCCAGGGTTCAGGTGAAGCCTATTGCTCCCCACACAGCCCCCAGGCATAAGATATCCATGGCACCATTTAATTCACGGTGGACAGAGATATATAACTGGTTATCATTGGCATACTCACCCCATGGCAATAGATGAATTCATCCTGTGGTCTGATGTAGATGTTGAAAGGGACTGGAGTGGAGTGGAGTGGGGAGAGGAGAGGATTGGAACGGAGAGGAGAGAATCCCTGTGGCAGTCCACACAATAGGGGTTGAAGGTGGGATCTCTTCTTGGAGAAGCGGGGGTGAACAAGCACAATACTCCACCCCCCCACCCACCCCAAATCCTTTCTGAGCAGATCCAGAAGGATATCATGGTTGATGGTATTGAAAGCAACTGAGAGGTCAAGTAAGGGAAGGATGAATACACCACATTCACACCAGATATCCAACAGTGCAACCAACGCTGTTTTTGTGCCGTTCCAGGTCTGATTCTTCCCAAATCTAATACAAAAATGTGTATTACATAGTTTCCTTTTTTCTTCTAAAAAACATGGCTTTTCTCAAGACTTTTCTCTCAACTGCACCTGACCTCGGGTCCTATGTTGGTTTTGCAGGCACCTTCTCAGATCTCAGATGACATCCAGTCTGTGCCTTTCCCAGAAATAGAAGATTCTGTACACAAAGGCTTTTGTCCTCTGATGTATTGTTCTGATAAGGCCCATCTTCCGTGACAACCTCCAAGTTCTAGAAGTTTCCTAGTGTCCCCTCAACGTTCTTAACATTGTTATGATATGGATGTTGGTTGTTTATGAAAATTCAGGTGGGAGTGCAGAAGTTTTTCAAGTTTGGAAGTCTTGTGTTGTTATTTTTAATATTCATTTTTAGTACTTAGAAAGTTTGCCGACTCTGGCTCCTTCCACACTAAGTACAATAAAATATTAACAAATGATACCAATTAGATTTTCCCCATTTTTTCTCTTAAAAGGGAAACCAAATCCAATCCTGAAGAAGTAATTTGAATAGTGAAAGATCAGGATATGGCCAGAAATATCTAACAGTCTTAGATTAATACACATTTTTGTTTGATATTGGTGATACTAAATGTTCTTGGCCTTTTATTCTCACAGAAAATGCAAAGTATCCAACCTATTTGGGAAAACTGAACAGAAGTGCAACTGTTGTAATTACTGGGGTCATCCAGTGTAAGATTAGAGACGTTCAAATACTGCCATCTAGAGGTTCCAGAACATTATAGACATTCCTCTAATACCAGGGAAAATTGAGGAACAGATCTTAAAATGAATTGAAATAATTTAAAAAATTAAGTGAGATGTATTTACATTTGTGTAAAAAAATTGCCTGGGTCTAGGATGAAGGATTGTGATCGTGGAAATTGCATGGGAGGATAATTTAAGTATCGATTCCTGTCTGATTATAGGACAGAAGTGTAGTACAGTTAGCAAAAAATGGGGGTGCTGAGGCAGCTTTAAGCTGCATTAACATCCATTGCTTCCAAGCTACTGGATGGATCCATTTTGTATTCTGCATGATTTAAACCTCACCTAGTCTACTTTGTCTGGTGCTACATGCTCATTTGAAGAAAGGTGGAACAGATCTAGAGAAGGAAACTTTACAGAAACATATATTAAATGATAAAAGAAACCGGTCATTAATTTAATTAAGATCAAAGACCAACCATCCATTCATTGCCCTCACGAAGCAACTCTGGGCTGTGATGTGTGTCAGGACCTTTACTCTTTTTAGCTGCCAATGTGGTCACGGAGGAAACTCACAGCTGGTAATCTAGATCTTCACCTGCTCCTTCAATAGATTATGATGCTTCCAGAAAATACCTATTTGCATCCCAAGGGATGACTTTCTTCACTACTCACCATTCTAAAATGGGAGTCAAACAGAGGGCATGCTTTTAGTTTTTCCACTAATTCCATGGAACATCAGTTTTACAGACACACATTATTTTGATGGAAGAAATGTTTATCGGGGTTCAGTTCCAAGTGTGGAGAAAGACACTGGAAGCATGGAGACTGCTTAGAAGGATGGTTTAATGGTGGACAGGACCACATGGTTTTGAGGTCCTGGGCAAAAAAACAGCATTTATACCCTCCCTTGGGCTTTGAACTTGCTTCCTGTTCCTGTGGCAAGAAATGTATCCTGATTGGTTGTCAGACTCCCATGGGGCCATGCAGGGGTAACTTTGTAGGTTGTCTTGAGTCCCAGCTTGGTTGAATCTTACTGAGTGATGTAATGAAGAGGCTTTGGGCAATTCCTATTATGGCTTAATGGCTTTGTCCTGATTTGGATCTGAGTGTGGGCTAACCCTATCCCCCTGGAGCGAAACATCTTTTGTCTTGTAGATAGGATGGCTCAGTCTTTCTGGGGCTATTAACAAAAGTAGGGGCTGCTTTCCAAGAACATGTTTCTCATTTTCTCATCCAGGGAGGTATAATATTCTGCCTTTTTAATATTTCCTAGAATATTTCATTCTTCTAGGAGAGGGGTGTGTGCTAACTTTCTACAATTTATACAGTGATTTTGTTTCTGTCCTCTCCTATACTGACCGCACCATCTTTCTCTCCCGGGTTGCAGATGGCGTTTAGCACAATCACTAAGCTCTGGCAACATTTTGCCATGATGAAAAGCTGGAAATTTTTCTTCAGAATTTTAGTGTGGGGAAAGTTACCAGCTACTCTGAGATTACCATTGCAACCTACCTTTCTGTTCTCTTCTTGCATGGAAACTGCATGATCTCCCATTGTGATTTCTTCTCAAGCAAAGAGTTTTTCAAGTCCTCTAAAGTTGGTCTTAACTGCCCTGCTATCAAAGGCTAACTGTTTCCAGGATGAATTTCATCTGTTTTACAGCAGTGACCCTTACTATTTTGTGGACAGATGCCATTAACGGAAGATAGCTCTTCTGTTTTTGAATGAATTTTAGCCATAACATAATTAAACAAATTAAAATTCTTTTATATTTGTAAGATATAAATATGAAATAATTTTAATTGGTATAATTATTTGTTTATACTCACATCATCAAGATATGTCAATGTTGGGATAATTGAAAATTTAATAGTCATATTAGATAACTGATGATCCAACAATGGTCAGAGTTTTGCATTTTTTTATTTAAAGCAATGTCATGTTGTCATACTATACACAGCCTTGCTTTTTCTAACCAAATCACTTTATCTAATTCTATTGAGAATATTATTTTCATGTATAAAGTATCACTTATAAATGAAGAGTATAATAAATAAATGACACCACTATCCCCAAATAAGAGTACTATGGATCCTTGCTAGGAAAAATTGTGCAATTTCATTGCACATTCATGGCAACTTTATTACAATAGTTGTTTTTTTTAAAATCTAGTTTTACTACTTGTTCTTGTATGCGTGGTTAAAAAATGCTGGGTTCTGTATCGTTATGTGATGGGACTGAATATTTTTTGGGATCAACTACTTGGAGGGCGGAGTTTGAAGTCTCATTGATGGAGGCCATAGGTTTTGGAGGAATCTTGGGTGGGATTACATTTAGGACTTCCCCTAATGCAACAGAAGGTTTTAAGGGACTATGAGTTGAAAGGGTGAATCCTGGAGGTTCTTTGACCGAAATGTTAGATTTTGGAAGATTCTCAGACAGGAAGGTGGTATTTGGGAACTCCCTTATAGAAGCTGTAGGCTTTGAAGAACCCATGGTTGGACGCTCAGAATTAGACCACTTTTTAAATGGGAGAGTAGGTTCTTCAGGGTGCATGTCTCGGAAAGGAGTAGGCAGAATATCTACTCCTGGATGTATAGTCTTTGGCCTCTGGTCACTAGTAAAGATTTTTTCTGGGACTGGTGGTGAAGAGGTGACTTCTTCCAGGTCACAGCCTGCAATATATTTCTTCAGATCTTGTCCTTTACAGTGTATCCTCCAGGCAGCCCTATAATTAAAACTCTCTGGTCAGAATATTGTTGCCATTCAGTTGACTAGACATGTACTGTACTTGGGAAGACAAAAGTATGAATGTTGCCACATGGAAGCTTGAGCCCCCAAATAACCGCCAAATTGTACTAGTAATCAAGGCATCATGCTTCATCCCTCCATAATTCATACAATTCCTTTAACAAATCTTTCCATTCTACCATCACTGAATATGATATGCAGAAGGGGTGGACAGCTTATAGCTCGAGGGTCTCAAACAATCTCTCAATCCCCTTTTGGGGTTTTTTACAGTCCATATGGTTATGATTGCTGAAAACTGATAGCACAATATCCTATTATGAGCTGAGAAGCACCTGATAATTGCAGTGTAAGTCCTAAAATAAGCGTATCAATAGATTTTTAAAAAATAATTTTCCCCTTGAAATGCTGATGTTGGCAGCCAAAAGCTTTCTTCCTCCACTGAGAAGAGCGTGCAATTCTGGACAAAGTAATGATGTCCTCTGTTGTCCTATAGAGATTGCTTTGTTCACCACAGGAGAAAAAAATGTAATTATTTCCTGGGTTTTGCACAGGGAAATGGATACCACCAAGAAAAGGGCCTTCACACAGAGGACAGGATTTCTCTCCCTTAAGTTGTATTCACTGTTGACATTTTGCCTGCTAGGGCAGGTGAACAAATGACTCCAGTCTCAGATCCAAAAATGTTGGATGACCTCTAGAGTTCTGGGAGTTGCATCCCAAACTTTTCTGGAGAATGCCAGGCTAGAAAAACTACAATAATGTTCTAGCCAAAATCAATCTGATGGCAGTACTTTCCTTCTCCTCTGATGAGCTTTCTTGAGTGAATTTGCCCTTCTTGCTTTATTTTACTTTAGGTATAGGCAAAAGTCAAGAAGGCAACATTTAAAGGAGAAGCAAGCACAATTCCTGGCTTTAGGAGTAAGTTCTATTTTTGCTTTGCTGCCTTTTTGGGAGAATAGGAGCAATTTCAGGCTTGATACAATGGCAACCACAAATAATCACCATAAACTTTAGCCTTTTCTGGAACTATCCAGGCAACATATATACCTTTCCAATGAATAAAGATTCATGGCAGTTTTCTTCCAGAGGTACCTTACTTTCCTTCCCAGTATATGTGATTGATAACAGAGTAAATAAGAACATAACAATTCATTTACCATGCTGCAAAGCCCTTGCTTTTTTCGACAACTTTCTTGGCACATTGGATATCATCAGTAATGTTAACATCCCGTAGGGCTGAAGAAAAAAAGAATGGGAGAATTGAAGTTTACTTGAGCATAGTTTACTTGAGCATATTCGCCATGGGCAAGTAGGCGGCAATATAAATCAAATAGATAGATAGATAGATAGATAGATAGATAGATAGATAGATAGATAAAATAAATAGTTATCATTAAAGTCCAAAGAAGTACTAAGTTAAGAAAAGTAAAGCAAATTGATTCTTGAATACATTCATACTTTGGCTGTGCCAATATATAGTTAACCTAGTTGCTTAATGTAGGATGTTGCGCGACTCCACCCAGCCACTGGTTTGGCAATCCAATTTTCTAACCCATTATTTATAAACCTAGCCAATGACTTACTGAGCAAACATGGCTATAATAAACCTGGCTTAGATCAATGTATTGTGTAAACCCATCAATGTATAAACATTAATATGCAAACCCAACTCAAAGTTGGGTTACAATGTTGGACTGTGCAAAAGTATGATAATTCTCATAGTAGAGTATCCCAATGTCTCCAGATTTGCAGTGAAGTATATTCTCTTTGAAAGCCTATTCAGTCCTTGTTGACTGCTAGAGCCCCATGAAAGTCAATGAATTTGACTCTGTAAGCTTTGGATATTGTTAGTTTTGAGAGAGATAAGAAGTTAAAAACAAGAGGAGTGCTTCTGAGTGAATGTTTTGGAGGAGGCAGCCTTTGAAAAGAATACAAGAAAACTAAATAAAATACAGGAAAAGAGATGCCAATATACTCAATATTCTTATATTAATCAATGGGGCATCTTGTCTGGATTTTGTGTGGTCACTGTCAACTTTAAAGCAGTTTCAGAGGAGGAAAATTGAGGTGATCCAGGGACTAGCACAACTTCCTTATTAGAAAAGGTTGTGATATTTGGGCCTCTTTCATTTAGAAAGGAGCTGAATGAGAGAAGACATGATTGAGACTTGTAAAATTACACAAATATGAATAAAGTAGCTAAGGAGAAGTTAAAATAGGTAAGGATAAGCTAATTTTCTCTTAAAACACAAGGTCCAGATGTTGTCCTATGAAATTGAACCCTGGAAAAATCAGGACAGACAAAAGAAATATTTTTCATGTAGCATGGTAGAATTTGCCATCACAAGTTCTGGTGTTGACTTTAAGAAATAGCTGACCCTAGATGAAATGAAAGAATTTTGAGAAGGATAGTAAGCAAGGTGTCTCATCTCCTTTATTATATAAAAGGTAATTTTATAAATGATGGCATTCATTCTTTGATTTTCTGCCAAATGTTATTAGCAAAGGAAGGTCATGATTCCTTACCTTCACAACTTACGTTGCAATAGTTGCGTGCATGTGGTGTCTTGAAATCGTCACACCACCACTTAGCGCTTAGCAAGAAGATCCCATGATTGGTGGCCCTTGGTCCCACATTGAGGGCTGAGGTATCAAAGCCACTGCTGTGAAACACCAAACAAATCCCTGGAGGTGAAAGAAAGCAGGCTCAAAAAAATTGTTTGATGGTCTGAGTTATCATTTCCCATCACAGAGCTATAGCAGGCACCAGTTATGGAAGGAGAGAGCAACTTATAGCCCAAAGAATGAATGAGCTCTCTATCCTTCAGAATTCTATTGCTTTGGTTATCTACTATCAAGAGAGTTGGGCTGAATGGATCTATATAGCTGCCTTAAAGACATTTCAGAAAAAGCATTATTTCAGGATCACAGCATGTTAACAGACTGTGTTTTGAAAAGAGGCAAGCAGTATTACAAATACACCAAGGGCATTAAATATACTAACTCCTGGTGGGAATTGGGATATTTTAGAATAATTGAGGTGACTACAAGCAGAACAAAACAAAGCACACTCACATTCTGCGATGGTGGTGCCTGAAAATCCCTCCAATCCATTTTCCTTCAGAATGGCTGAAAAGCTGCATATGTCAAAGACAATAGCATTGCTCCTCGCCACTGCAACAACGAGAAAAAGAAAAACTAAGTAGGAAGTCTTCATTTCAAAACTGTAATGATGATAGGGGATACCTAACATGGTTCTTTATATACTCCAGGGAGGAGATGGAGCTGCCCAGATGCCCTATATAGTAGGATTATGTGCCTCTACCCCCAGGAAAGGACGGCTTCCCTCATTGAATGCTCAAACATCCTACACATCCTTCAAAACGATGTCATCTATTGCCTCCCTGGGTCTCTGTTCACAATGCTGACCAACCCTCTTGACTGGAAGAATTATGGAGAAGAGGGAATTGTGGCAGGTGCTGATTGTGGCATCACTCACAGTGCCACTGGGGCTTGAAAACCTGACACCTGATCAGTTATTAAAGATACAACAGACTTAAAAGTGGGTGTTCCTGCACTGCTAAAACGAATGGTGAATGCTTTGGAGTTGCTGAAGGAGTCCATATCGTAAGATGGATCCAGGGCTGCACATGGACAACTTTGTCAATTGCCCATGTGTATTACAAAAAAAAAAAAAAGGATTTTGGTAAATCCTTTAAAGCAAAACAAACAAACAAACAAACATCCTCAAACACCTGATCAGATAAAGGAGAACATTAATAGCTCAGGGTTGAAATGAGGGTTCCTTGATGCTCTCTGAGCTCACTTGTTTTGTTGCAGATGTTTCATTACCCAAACTAGGTTACCTCATCAGTGCTGGGCAATGCACTGATGATGCTACGTAGTTTGGATAATGAAAAACCTTCAAGAAAACAACCAAACTCACAGAGCACCAAGGAACCCTCATACCTGATTGGGAATGTATTTAAGATGGAAAGGGGCCTTGATAAAGACAGCAAGATGGACCCCTCATAGCATGTAGACTGAGGTTAAAAGCATGCACAGAGCACAGTGACACTACCAAATAATGCTCATATCAAACCAGCCCAAACCAACCTAAACCTCAAGTCAAATCAAACCAAACTAAACGGCTTTAATATGCTGACTGAATCTAAGAGACTGCACATAGTACAATAATAATAAATGACACATTAAAAAAAGCCAACTTTCTACCAATTAAACATGGCAATATCTTCCTTTTTGGAAGGCACTCCTTCCCCTCTTTCTTTCCTTTTCTTCTGTCTGTTCTCTTCTTCAGCTGTTGAGCCTGCTGACCAGAGCAGCATCCATGTAACACCTGAAGTGTTGTGCCACCTCAGAATCCAATATCACCTTTGACCACTGGTTTGGGGCCTGAGAAGAATTATTCTTGGTTGTATGTAAGTGGGAAGGGGTTGTAAAGAGTGATTCACTTTTGTGGCAGCTCATTTTCCATTGACACCAACGTTTAGGTTCTGCTTTGGGATGTGTGACTATTCAGCTTTAAATTTAAAGAATGACCTCTTTGTAGCTTCTATTGTCATATGTATGTTTAAAAAAGCACTCATTAAGGGGCAGATTTCAATAAAATATGATGACAGGGCATGGTTTTCTATGATAAGATATTCTGCAGCTTTTTTTAAATGGTTGATTTATTTATTTTATCAATTTCAATAATGATCTGAAGAAGAACAATGCCATGGACATAAACCCAAGAAGTCAGAATTGTACTCACCAAATTTCTCCAACTGCCTACAATTTTTCATCAGAATAGCTGATGTAGAGATTACTTTATTCAGGCTTCTAAAACTGTTTTATTTGCTGTTGCTTGGTATTGTAAATAATATAATCATGCTGAATACCTTTACAAATGTTGCTCCTTGATTTTCACAAAGTCAATGGAATTTTTTATTTCACCCAAGTTATACGGCAGTCCCAAGACAAATAGTAAAAAAAAAAAATGGAAATGACTGAATGGCTGAAAAAGCAAACCAAGTAATATTTATATGGTAAGGTTATTCAACAGAATTTTATGTAATTTATTAGGGCCAGAACTGCCCGGATGTTTTTAATATAGTGGGCAAGGCAGCCATTGGCTGCTTGAAGGAACATAAAATGATAAACTGGAGAATTATCAACAAGACCGAAGAGAATATTGAAACATTCAAGTGTAAATATATATTGTGGAAAAATGCAAATGGAGTGGGTGGTCCTTTGAAGATGGCACGCTAAGTGACAGGACAATTTTTCTCTCCTGCTAACAAAATTTGAACGGGAGCTACTAGGAATGACCCAAGGCAACCTTCAGAGAACTATGAACTTACCTAAGAAGAGAAAACTATTATTTTTTAAATATATTTATGTTGGTGTTTAAAAGGGAGAGAAATTATGTTTATGTTTTTTTTCTTTTTATGCCACATTTATTTTCTTTCCTTGTTTTGTTTAGTTTTGCTTCATTTTGTATTTTTTTCTCTTTTTTGCCATTTGTATTTTAATGTTTTGATTTAAAAAAATAAAAACATATTGGAAAAAAAATACAATCTGAGCAAAGAGGAAGCATGCATTGGGAGAAGCTGACAAAAGAATCACCACATCTATTGATGGCATTGCTAAGAAATAGAAAGGAGGACCGGTCATAACATGTAACTTGCAGGCATTTGAGATCTGGTTCTTGGGTTTTGAGTATTACAGGAACTATTTGAGGGTTAAAAGGTAGAAACCCAGAAGAGGGCCATCACTTGCAGGCATTAAACTTTGTATTCCAGCCAACTCTGCTGGGAAGAGAACCAATTCAAAGACACAAACAATAGCTCCGGGGGCCCATTTTCCTGCCTTTCCTAAGAACAACAAACAGTGCAGGGCTGGGCTGGGAAATATGCATTTGCAGATATGGAGTGCCTTCCTTCCTGGCAACCTGGACTAAATTGTCTTCTGTTGCTAAAGAAACAAATCCTGAGCTGGCGGGGGGGGAACGGGGACTTTACATCTTGATTTCTCAGCCAACTAGCCCCTGAACACATTCATTGAAAGTCTTCCACACTGTGGAAGGTTTGGACTACACGATAGTTCTGTTTTTCCTTTAGTTTTTCCACCTTCTTGTTAGACTACAGTCTGTTAGATTCAGTCTGTGCTAAACCATAATGCATTTGTTTGTTTTTGTCAGGCCTTTTTGTGATTGATGGGGTGTGACTTAGGATATGTGCATCTGGTCAATATTAAATCATGCTTAAGTAAACCGTAGCCTGTACAATGGGTGAACTCAGCCTGATTTTATTTTTGTTGCCTTATTGTTTGCTTCCAGCAGCTATTCTGATTTCCAGTAATCATACTGCCTTGTTTATATTTTTTCATCATCTAGTAACCCTCCCTATTCCCTTTCTTGATTCCTTTCCCCACCAATTCAGCCTTTTTCCATCTGTTTTTCTTGAATTTTCTTTAGGTTCCTGTAACTTCCTTTCAGCAATCCAACATCGGACTTCTTTGCTCCTTATCTACTGAGAAATAAAGGAATCCCCTTCTGCAATTTATTCTCATCATCTTGCAGCACAGATTCTTGGAATCAATGTGATATTGTAATCCTAGCTCAGCAAATGCAGCTTCCTTTAGAATGTAAGGTCTGGCATGCAGCAAGTTAAAAATTACAGACCTATATCCCTATTAAACTTAGACTATAATTTTTTTGTTTCAATTTTGACAGAAAGACTAAAACGATATTTAAATAATTTTATCCATATTGATCAAAATGGATTCCTGCCAAAGAGACAAATCAAAGACAATGTGACAATTATTTTGGATACTCTGGAATACTATGAGGCACATCTTGAAAAGCAAATGGCCTTGATGTTTTTAGATGCACAAAAAGCCTTTGATAATGTGAGTTGGTGATTCATCTTATTTCAATTGACACAAATGGGCTTTGGTAAAAAATTTATTCAAGCCATTGAAATAATATATCATGAACAAACTGCAAAGGTTATGGTAGATGGAGAACTAACAGAATCTATAGATATAAGAAAAGGGACAAGGCAAAGCTGTCCACTGTCACCCCTGCTGTTTGTGTTAATAATGGAAGTGTTGAATAGAAATATTAAAGAAGACAAAGAAATGAAAGGAATGAAAATCAAAAAGGAAGAGTATAAATTGCAAGGTTTCACAGATGACCTGGTATTCATATTAGAAGACCCATTGGAAACAGCACCTAAACTAATAGAAAAAATAGAAGAATATGGAGAAGTAGCAGGTTTGAAAATAAATAAAGATAAAACAAAGATATTAACAAAGAATATATTAGCAAGATGAAAGAAAGAGTTGGAAGAAGTTTTAGAAATACAGGTCACAAACAAGGTTAAGTAGATATATATTACACCAAGATGTAGCACACTGAAAGAGGATAATTATCTTAAACTCAAACAGCAGATTGCAACAGACTTGACAAAATGGGGAAATTTACAATTATCATTGAATGGGAGAATATCTACAATTAAGATGAATGTATTGCCTAGAATTTTATATCTATTCCAGACAATCCCAATCCAACTAGGGAAAGAGTTTTTTGAAGACCTAAATAAAATTGTGTTGAAATATATCTGGCAGGGCAAAAAAGCAAGAATAAAACACCATATTGTTACAAGATGCAAGAACAAGAGGAGGGTTTGCCTTGCCCAATTGGGAGTTGTATTACCAGGCGACAAATCTGATGTGAGTAAAGGAATGGATAACATTAAGGAACAGTAGACTATTGACCTTAGAAGGGCATGACTTACTGCTGGGATGGCATGCTTTCCTCTGGTATAAGGGAACTAAAACACAGGGGTATTTTAGAAGACATTACATTTGAGAGGCATTGTTTTTGAATTGGGAGAAGATAAAAAGACAATACTATTTAAAAATTCCATTATGGATATCTATCATTGAAGCTTTTTCTTATCCAATAAAATATAAAAAGGAACAAACAGATATGGTGAGATATTGAATGAAAAGGGTGAACTTAAATCTATGCAAGCGTTCGAAGAACAAGGTGTAAAAATGAATTGGTTTGCTTATTTGCAAATACAATCTAGGTTTGACAAAAATGTAAAAACAGAAGGTATTTATGATAAGTTGACTGACTTAGATAAAATCTTGATGGATACTGATGAAAAGGTAATTGTGATGACCCGTAGTCTCTCAAAATAACCCCAAACCCAAAGCATACATTAAAGTCCGGTAAGGCCTTCAACTTAACTTCACTGTTTTATTAGGCACAGTTTAAAGTCACAAAAGTAAATAATGAGGCAAAAAGAAAACCAAAACAAACCGCATTGACGAGAGTTCCGAAGCAAGCCAAGATAATTAATCATACATTCCAGGAAGATAACTGAGGAGAGTCCATGGGAAGAACGCCAGCAAAGATAAACCTCTTTCAAACAAAACACTAAACTTTGACTCCAGCAATTCTGATTACGCAGTTACAAACTTATATACATAGCTCCCAGCTGCAAGCCATGAGGAGAATCATGGTAATCTCCTCCTGAGTAGACCTCACTTTTCCCTGATCCTCTCCTCTCTGCTGCCTTAGGATGGATAGGGGATGGGCCTGGATCCTCTTCTGATTGCTCAGCCAGCCTCTGCCCTTCCCCAGCCTCCTCCACCACCTCTGGAGCCACATTCCCACTCCCTGTTGGCTGTTCCTCCTCTTCCTCAGAGTCAGTCTCCACCAGGAGTATGACAGTAATTAAAAAACTTTATGGACTTTTATTAGAATTTAAATTGGAGGAGGAACAAGTTAAAGAAACAATGATTGCTTGGGGGAAAAATTTTGGATATGGGATTGATTTAGAAAAATGGCAAAAATTGTGGTCTCAAAATTATAAAATGACAATGTTAACTCCGTATAAAGAAAATTTGTATAAGATGTTTTACAGGTGGCATCTACCCCCAATGAGACTTGCGAGAATGTTTAAGAATAAATTGGATAAATGTTGGAGATGTCATCAGATACCTGGTTCATATTACCATATGTGGTAGACATTCTTGGACGCAAAAAAAATTGGACTAAAATCCACACACGGTTGAAAAAAATGATAAAACAACATATAGACTTTAAACCAGAGATCTTTTTATTGGGAATTATACCAGAAATATATAACAAAGAATTGAAGTATTTGATTGTAAATGTTTTAACGGCAGCTAGGATTGTATTTGCTAGGAATTGGAAAAACGATAAAATACCTATGCAGGAGGACATTATTAAGAAAATTATGGACTGTGTTGAAATGAGTAAATTGACATTTGAAATTAGAGAACAAGAAGATAAACAATTTTATATGATATGGGATTTGTTTTGTCAATGGTTGGATAAAAAGACATGGTAATGTAATAGACTAGATAATTCTGTGATAGAAATTTAATAGACTGATATAAAACATAATATTGACATATATAACCATTGGTTGAAAGTATAACATAAATTTTAAGATAAAATTTGGAATATCTCATATAAAATAATGGAATAAATAGTTTAGTCATGGATGGTTAATAACCGATAAATATATATGCATATGTTAGTTTGACAATGTGAAAATTGATATAAACTATGAGTAATGACTACAAAAGGATAGCACAAAAGATTCGTAACCAACTGACACACTGTATGTATATAAAATGGAAGATGGTTTTATGTTTTTATGTTTTGTATGTGCATGTTTGTTTTAAAAAAATAAAAACTCTTTAAGAAAAAAAGAATGTAAGGTAAAAATGAACCAAAACAAAGACTTAAATGGAGGTTTGTAAATTAAAGAAAGCAAACTTTTATTCTTTGATCAAAGTTAAAGATCTGGGAAGAAGTTCCTAGCACATCACAAGAGACATGGGAGGAAAATCCTACAAAATACAGAAAGATGCCCTGTCCTTGTTCTTAGTTCTCTAATTACCTTGTAAATCTCTAGTCATGTAATCTAACTAAGATTTACATCTTCCTGCAACAGATAGATTTCACTCTGGCAGTGTTTATCTTTATATTCCCAGAGAGGTACGTTACCTTCCCATGGGGGTGAAATGTATCAGATGGATTCAGATTGATTTAGATGGGAGAATCATGTGTCTTAATAGAAGAGTAACTGCCTGTAACTGATTGCAGGCATGTGTTTATAATTGCTCTACAACAAGTGAAAGGTTAAGGAAATATTTTTTACAACAGCAAAATAAGAAATGCCTATAGAGTGATAAATAACAGAAATACTTCTACATATACAAGAAAACAAATGCCTAACAGCAAGATAACAAATGCCTATAGAGTAACTCTCTACTTAATGCTATAATATATTTTACTACATTTCTTTATTTATTATTACTATTCCCTTCAAGAACACCACAAACATTCAATAGATTCCACTTTTATCCTCATGAAGATAGAAGAGTCTTGTGAGGTTTAGGCATTAGTCAGAATTCTCCACCTTTCTTCTGATGGTCTTGAAGGACCTTTAGCTATCTGATCTGATCAGTAGAGGGAATCATATTGTATGAGTCTGGGGGCAAGACACCAATGCAAAACGAGTCTATTACCTAGACCTGGGGTGTCAAACTGGTGGCCTGCAGGCCAAATGTGTCATGCACAGGCCACATCCTCCCCAGCTTCACGAATGGGAAAAAACACCATGAAATGTCACGTGATGGCAACATGATGCAGCAAGTTTGACACCCGTGACCTAGATTGTAAGTCTGGGTATAGGGAAAGTTGTGAAGAGAATACAAATCTAGCCTTGTCCCTCAGGTTTTTCACAATTGCCCCAAATGAATTATTGTAGGCCATTGTTTGCTATGATTGGCAGTGCAGATGAGGCATAGATGTGCTTTCTATAGTGAATGGAGCACCAACAGGTAAAATGTTATCTTTGGGATCTTTCTCACAGCTAAGTCACAGGATAGTCTTGAGCCAACAGAAGAGAAAAATCTCCCTTTACAAAAACATGATTTAACTTGCAGTTGTGAACAAAGTAATGTAATCAGCTTATGGAGAAGGCCAAACTCAATGGGCAAAATGTGATTGAGAGCACTGAGAGCAAGCAGGTATCTAGGTGTTTTGGGGAACACCCAGGGGTGGGCTGCTACCAGTTCTCCCTGAAGAAGAGGCTCAGGCGAACCTGTAGGTAATTTTATGGCCGGTTTGGTGAACTGGCAAATCCCACACCTGGCTTGCACGGCCCACCCCACCCGACCCTGCCCCTTCTAGGAGTCCCCATGTGGCCTGCTTTGGATGCCAGGCAAGTGCAGGGCCTGTTCAGAGGCTTGGGGAAGGTGAAAAACTGGCCTCCAGAGCCTGTGGGAGGCTGTTTTCGACCTCCCAGAAGCTTGAGGAAAACCTCTGGAGCCTGGGGAGGGTGAAAAATGCCCCCCCCGAAGTTCCAGAAGGCCAGAAATGGGCTGTTTCCAGCCTTGGGAAGGCCTCTGGATCCAGGGGCGGGGGGCATTTTCACCCTCCTGGAGGCTTGAGAAAAGCCTCCAGAGCCCGGAGAGGGCAACCACCCCCATGTGGTGCAGGATGTCGTATTTTGTAATAATACTCCTAACACATGAGTTCTCTGCACACAAACTGCTTTATTTTTCTTAACTCCTCCCTTCTGGTTCCTTCATACTGTGTCATCTCAAAATATGTCCCTCACTACTCTCTGTCTAACATCGATTCCTCTTCACAGCTAAACATCAACAGGTTCCATTTACCCTACACCACACCTCCCTTTTCTAGACAACAAAGGGTATACTACCTTTGTCTCACCAGACCTTAGAGGATTATTCTGCCTCTTTTGTTGAAGGTCTGTTCCTATCTAAATCCTGTAGGGAAGAAAATGTTATCATATAACTATTTACTAATCCAATACACCTAACTGTGTTTAAACTATTCTGCATCTCAGATTTCTTACTGAACTACACATCAACATTAACTCTTTTTCACTTTCTCAGTTCACAGATTCAGTCTCTCTGGTTTAACTATAGCTCTCCCAGACCTTGTCCTTGGGGTAGCTGTCACACTAGGAAAGTTTTTAAGTATTTTCCCAGGTGATGTAGAAACTTGTTCATTGTTTGTCTCTGGCAACTCCTGCTGCTCCACCACTCCTCCTTCATTTACATGTGTGTGTAAGGGTATCAAGTGCTGACTATTGCGTCTCACCACACCTTTAGGTACATCCACCAGATAAGACCTTGGACTCGTGTGATTCTGCAGCACAGTCCCAGATTCTTTTGTATCAGTGACCCATACATGCTCTCCTGGTACCAAATCACTAAGAGGTTTTGCACGATGTCTCCTGTTGTAGTATTCAGTATTCATTTTCCTCTTTTCTCTCTCTTTATGAGCAAAATGGTCAACATCTGGCAATGCTGGGTCTAGCTGAGAGGGAAGAGTCGGCACAGTGGTACGAAGACGTCGCCCCATAAGCAGCTGAGCCGGACTGAACCCACTCTGGAGAGGGGTAGCTCTGTAGGCAAGTAGGGCCAGATAAGGGTCACTAGCCTTTTTCAAGAGACTTTTCACTGTCTGAACTGCACATTCAGTTTATCTGTTACTTTGTAGAAACTTTGGACTGCTGGTAATGTGTTTGAACCCATATGTGGATGCAAAATGAGAGAAATCTTGGCCAGAAAACTGTGGTCCATTGTCTGACACCAACTCCTCTGGAATCCCATGCCGGGCAAAGATTGACTTCAGATGGACAATGACATCAGTTGACTTAGTGTTCGATAGCAGTGCAATCTCGACATATCTGGAGAAATAGTCTATCACAACTAAGTATGTTTTCCTTCCAATTACAAACATGTCAGTCCCTAACTTTTGCCATGGTCTTTCCAGGCACTCAGATGTCATGAGTGGCTCTTTAGGATTCTGACACTCTTGAATACATGTCCTGCATTTGAGCACCATTTCATTGACCTGCTGACTGAGTCCTGGCCACCACACAGACTGACAAGCACATTCTTTGCATTTCACCACCCCTTGGTGTTCTTCATGTAGCCTCTCCAACATCTCATTCCTCAGAGTGGATGGGATCACAAGCCTAGTGTCTTTCAGTAGTAATTCATCTTGTACAGTGAGTGTAGCTTGTTCTGGCCAGTATCCTCTCGGTGCAGGTTCCTGTTTTGCATGCACCGGCCATCCATCTGCACACAATTTCATGACTCGAGAGCAAATACTATCAGCTTGCAACTGCTCTTTTATGATTTCCATATGTGTGTGGCTACTGGTAGGAAAGGTGTCTACTGCACAGTCCACATATATGTTAATGCTTTCCATCAGCTCCAGTTCTGCTTTGGACATGTGAGAGTCCATAGGCGAATGTGACAATGTGTCTGCTGTCCAAAGTGACTTTCCAGGCACATGCACAATGTAGTAAGAGTAACACATGAGCTTCAACCTGAATCGCTGAATTCTCAATCTAGTGTTTGGTCTCCAAACAAACTGACAAATGGTTTGTAGTCAGTCTCCAGGCAGAAATGCTTTCCTAGGAGGAAATCCCGAAATCTTTCACATGCCCAGGTTAGAACCAGGCCTTCTTTTTCCACCTGTGCATAGCATTGTTCAGTTGGAGTGAGTGAATGCGACGCGTAAGCCACAGGCTTCCATTTATCTCCCCACTCTTGAAGAAGAATGGCGCCCAAGCCATATGATGATGCATCCGCTGACCCTTTCATCACTTTGTTCGGATCATACATGGCCAGCACCAGAGGGGAAGACAAAGCATCTTTCAATGTCTTAAATGCCCTGACCTGTTCCACATCCCAAACCCAACCGTTTTTCTTAGAAAGGAGATCACGAAGTGGCTTGTATTATTCTGCCAACTGAGGGATGAACTTCCCCAGCTGGTTTACCATGCCAAGAAAACTCCTCAGTTCGTTCAAACTAGAGGGCTCCTTAATACCTCTGATAGCCTCTGTTTTCCTTGGGTCAGGTCGTATCCCTGCATCAGAGATGATGTGACCCCAAAAGACCACCTCACTCCTGGAGAGTTCACACTTATCCACATTCAGAGTGATTCCCGCCTTTTCCAGTTTTTTTAGCACTGCATGGAGTTGATTGTCATGTTCTTCTTGGTCCCGTCCCCACACTAGTAGATCATCAATGTGGCAAACTATATCTTCCAGCCCCTGTGTAACTTCCGCCATCATACATTGGAAATGTTCGGGTGCTGAGGCAATGCCAAATGGAAGATGGTTAAAGTGGAACCGCCCGAAGGGTGTAATGAATGTGGTATACTTTGCTGAATCCTTGGTGAGGGGTATCTGCCAAAACCCCATGTTGGTGTCTAATTTACTGAACATTTTAGCACCAGCTAGTGTTCCAAGACTCTGTTCTACTGATGGTAAAATGAATTTTTCACGACACACATACTTGTTCAAGCCAGTCAGGTCCACACACAAATGCACCTTTTTGCTGTCCTTCTTGGGCACCACTACCATGCCTGTGCACCAGTCATGCCTGCTCTTCCACACGAGTGATTACTCCCAAGTTTTCCATGCATGGAAGCTCATCTTTGACTTTCCCCATCAATGGTAGGGGAGTCCTCCTTGGGGTTTTCAAAGAGAAAGGCACAGCATCGGGTTTGAGCTTAATACAATAAGGTTGTCGAACCTCCCCTAGGCCGCTGCATAACTTAGGGTAGCTTGATTTCAGGTTTTCCATGTCAATAGTGTCCACACTAACCAACAGACCAAGAGCTACAATAGCTGGCAGTCCCAGCAAAGGCATACTCAGGTTTTTATGGCATTTAGCTTCCTTAGCAGGACATTCCTCTCTAGGATGAAGCATGCCACCGCATTTATGACACTGGGGGTCTTTAGTGTTTTTGTTCTGCCTGCTTTGAAGCTTTGCTCCATCATTCTTTGATCTGCTGAATTTTTGCTTTTCTTTCTGATGCCTGCCTTTAAACAGTCTGTCCAAAGAGATCACATCCTTTATGTTTACAGCACTAGCATCACTTCTCAATGTTGTTTGCTGTTTTTTAATCTCCTCTGATTGTCTTGCCATATTAATAGCTTTATCCAGGTCTAGGTCTTTTTCCATCTGCATACGTTCTGATAGCCATGTATCGACCAAAGCCTACTACAATCCTGTCTCTGATGAGCTTGTCATGTAGTGCTCCATAGTTACAGTGTTCTGCTAATGCATACAGCGCTGTGACAAATGCATCAACTGTCTCATTTGCTTCTTGTTTGCGCATATTAAATCTTGCACGCTCATACACAATGTTCTTTTTTACTACAAAGAATGACTGAAAGCCGTCTCTTACTTTAGTATACTGATGCTGATCAGCTTCACTGAGTTTCAGGCCACGCAGAACATCATCTGCTTTGTCTCCCATACAGTAAATCAGTGTTCACCTGATTTTCTTCAGAGCTTATTGCGAGATTGCTTGCTTGCCTAAATCTCTCGAATCGCCGTATCCATTTTGTCCACTCATTTGGTTTGGAAAAATCAAAGAGCTCCGGTGGTTGGATGTTAAAAGTAGTGCTGGGTGTGCTAGCCATTCTGCTAACTCCTTCCTCATTCTGCTCATCCCCACTGCTGCTCATTTTCCTCTTTTCGGTAGACCTCGTTGTTCAGTTACCGTGTTACAGAACTTTTGGCACCATGTCGTATTTTGTAATAATACTCCTAACACGTGAGTTCTCTGAACACAAACTTGTTGTGGCTCGGCGGTTTGAGCCTGCTTTGTTAGAGGACGAAGACTTGGACAATGAGGAAGAGGAGGATTTGGCTCTGAGGTTTGAGCCTGCTTTGTTAGAGGATTTGGAGTTGCCTTCCTCCCCAGGACTTTCCTCTTCGGCCAGACCTTCCTCCCTGATTGTGCCTCAGGTGTCGACAGATAACCAGAAGGGCGTATCAGAGTCTCTGACTGAGGAATGCTGGCTTGATGCGAGGCAATGGCGCAGGCAAAAGTGCGAGTTGCAACGCAGAAAGAAAGGATGAATCAGAGATTGAGATGAGGGACTGACACGCCCCACAGGGATTAAAAGTGGGTATGTTCGCTCTGGGAACTTGTTCGGGATGTGTTACTTAGTGAGAGAAGCTTCAGAATATCCTGTGTGCGGCGATAGCTTGTGATTTGTATTCCTGCTTTATTGTCGGACTTGGCAGACAGCTTGTGTGAGACTGCCAAGAACTTTATCAGCTCAAGGAATTTAACCCTGTAATTGCTGGACTTGTTTGCTTGTTTATATTCATTTGGAAATTTGGACTTCTCACCTCGTTGGTACAGGTGAGACATAACACAAACTGCTTTATTTTTCTTAACTCCTCCCTTCCAGTTCCTTCATACTGTGTCATCTCAAAATATGTCCCTCACTACTCTCTGTCTAACATTGGTTCCTCTTCACAGTTAAACATCAACAAGTTCCATTTACCCTACACCACACAGGAGGCCGACTAGGCCATGCTCACCAAGGTCACGCCCACCCAGCAACCAGGCAGAGAACTGGTTGCTTGAAGTCCATCCCTGGAAACTCCTTAAGCTAAATATGACTTTTTCTAGAATGGCCCATATGGGTGCCCAAAAAAGATGTTGCTGCTTTAAAGTATTTTTGATGGATTCTGTGTCTGTGTGAATCATATTTTGACCTTTAAATCTGGGTCTCTGCAGAACAGGGGAATATTTGCTAGTAGGGATACTCCATTCATAGTGTTACACTATGATTTTAGGCAAGATAAATAAGATGCTGAATTTTAAAATCACACACAGATTTTCTCTGAAGGTTGCAAATAAACATGTATATGTAAGAATCAATGTTGTTGGAAAGATGAACTTCTTTTTTCAGCAAAACTGTTGGAAGGAAAATCCATCTGGTTCAGTTCCAAGCTGGTAGAAAGATGCTGGAAACAACATGGAGGCCGATTGGAAAGGAAGTTTAATGATGAACAGAACCAACAGCAGTTCTGAGTCAATTGAACAAGTGGTTGTGTCAAGCCTGGTATGGACATATGCATAGCCATTTTAGTTAGGCTTAATATATATTCTTTTTCTTATTTTCTCTCTGGCAGACATGGGGGAAGGGCCACATTCCTAAGTGGGGAGGAATGGAGATAGAGAGTTGTTTTGGCTAGGTGATCATTCTTCCCTTGGGAACCTGAGCTGTCCGTGCCTAGACACTGGAGTTGGAGATTTATGACATCAAGCAACATTGAATTACTTCTATTGGAGAATGTGGCTTTTGGGGAGTTGTTTCTAACTTCTAATATGTGGGGTAATTCCAGGTTGTGTCAGATCTAGATCTAGAATCAAATCCCACTTTGCCAATTTGATGTTTTCCTAAATAAAAGAAATTGGCTTGGAAGATGGACTTTGTGTTTTTCTTTTTAAAATGGATTTCATCACTTGGAATCCTGACAGGTTGAATGAGTAGATGGATCTTTACAGGTTTCTGTGACTTTGAAGTTTGAACTATTCTGGGGTTGTGCAATGAAGGGCTTGTATTCTGAAAGGGTATTGGGCAATTCCTATTGTGGCTAATGGCTTTCATCCTGTGTTGGATCTTGGGTAAGGGGCTGCTTCTAATACTATCACTCTGCTTTTGTTAACTGTCAAACTTTGCTGCAAGAAGTTTTGAAATATCCTGTCTTGGATGGATTTCTGCCTGTAGTATTTGCTTTTCTTATGTATAGAGCCATTTAAATAGTTGACTTATTCTTTCAGAAAGCTCTTTATCTCCTTAAGTGCTGGGGACTACTTTCTGCCTCTAAAAACATGTTTCTCTATTTCTCTATGTTTCTCCAAGGCAGGGGTGGGCAAACTTTTTGGCTCAGGGGCCTCATTGACTTTTAAAATTTGACAGATGGGCCGCCACCCCGTGTCAAAATGCCTGTCATTACAAGTCAAAATCAAATGAATGCAATCATTCAATCATTCACATCAAACCTTAATTCTGTACCAATCTTCGGCGGGCCGGATATGGCCCCCGGGGCATAGTTTGCCCACCCCTGCTCTAAGGCAATCATAGGAAAATGGGAAGTGAGCAAATCAAACATATTTAACTTTGTTACAATCCAAACAGCTTGAACACAGACCGACATTTTCAGAAAAATGCCCTGAGATGCGATACTGTTTCTCAACCTTGACAACTTTAAGATAAAATGGACTTCAACTCCCAGAATTCAACTCCCATCTAATCATAGTTCTGTGAGGGATTAGTCAATAATGTAATGAAATACATTATTGGCATTCCCTCCTTATATAAATAGCATTCATTGTTTCATAGGAAAATGGTTGGGGATAAAAGGGAAACTGAAACTGAAGGAAAATAGGGCTAGGCTTAATGAGTCATACATTCCTACATTAGAAAAAGCACATTATCACAAAACTGATAGTTACATGAAAACACCCTTTCTTTGCTTTGCTGTTGTTTCCGGTGCCTTTTTGTTTCTTGATGAAATCCTGTGGGGTTTTTTGTGTGTGTGTGTGGTTTGCAAGCCTGAGGTTTTTTTTCCACCTCTTGAGGTATAAGAGTGAGTCCCAGATTAGGAAGATTCCTTGGCAATTTTCAGACTTAAAGGTGAGGTTTGTTTATTTATTTTTAATCAAAATGCTGAGTTTTCAAGGAGGAAAAAGGAGGAGCCATTGGAAGACCCTGTACCCTGATTTTTGGAACATACTGATAGTGCGAAGAGGGATAATGCTACCCAGGAACTGATACAAAGCTTATTTTTCCTTCACTTATATACCAGTTAGGTTTTCAATTTCTCCAGTGTCAGGACATGACTGTTATTGGAAGGAAAAATTACATCTGATTTGCAAGATGTGTAATTCAAATTTAGATACTTTTTTTTGTCAGAAGAACATGAAGAGGCCTTTAAAGCAAGTCAGGCTTTTTAAAAACTGTGCTTATGATAGAAATATTTACCTTCTTTCCCTCCTTTTTCATCCTTTAATTTTCATATTACAAAGCATAAAATTGTTTAATAACCAACCATATAAAAGTAGTGGCTATCACACATTTTAACACATTTCTAGCACACATTCACAGCTACAACATCAAAACCATAGGGTTCAAAGTACCCTAGTTTTCCTACATTAAGTTTATTAAAAGCAGCTTAGAATCATGCATGAAGGTTCAGAAATCCCCGTACCAACAGGGTACCTGAGATATGGCCAGGGAATGTAAAAATATCTTTTGGCTTCATTTCTATCATTGCTCAATTAATCTCTCTCTTTTCCTTGTCTTTTCCTTTCCTCAGATAACTTGGAGAAATGCAGTTCAGTTGTGAATATCCATAAGGAAGTACAAATAGTCAAGATGGCAGCTATGGCTGCATGATTGAAGCCACCATATTGATGTTTTTGGTGCTCCTACTTATAATTGAAACCCTGGACCACGGGATTGGCTGTCAGAGACTGCCCTTCTCTCCCTACAGAATCAATGGCCTGTCTGTACCATTGGCTGTGGATAACTATAGACCTGTGCCACACAACATACTCAGTTCAATGGACAAATTTTGCAGCAAAGTTAAACTGTATTTTCCCCAAGCTACCTTGTCATGTCTCTGAAAGGCATTTAGCACCCATCTGCAGGCTATTCACTCCACACATTGAAGCATTCAGCTTGAAGAGAAAGCCCAGTCTGGCAATTGCTGCTCACCATGAGCCGCCATTTGCTGAGCCCAGAGAAGCAAGAGACTCAATGGCTGCTCTCTCTGCAGCAGCTTGCCTAACTCACTGCTTGCTCTCTTCCTGCCACCAGAGGCTATTTTCCTCACAAGTTTACTTATTATGCTCCATGGATCAAAAGCAAAAAAGGGTTCAGTAGTGGTATGTTACCAGTTCAGACCGGTTTAGCCGAACCAGTAGTAAAAAAAGCTGACAATCAGCTGAGAGGAGGAAAGAAAATCCTCCCTGTGCTTTTCTCTTCTTTATCCGCTCAGCTGATTGGCGCTGCAGGTCTCAGCTGGTATGGGGAAAGCTGCACGCCAGCATTAGGCAAAGCATGCCCAACAAGCCACACTCATCAAACTGGTGGTAAAACAATTTGAATCCCACCACTGGTTAAGATGTTTGTCACTCAGCTCACCACCACTTTATAAAACTGTTTACTTAATAGTTATTTGTACTAGGCCCTCACATTAAATAGAAGGCACTGATTAGCTCCAAGCTAATACAGTAAAAAATTTGTCATCTAACTGTCTGTGTTGTATATAGACATTTGCATACTCGTATTACTACATTCTGATTGGACGGCTATTGCCGCCTATAGATTGGTTACTAAACTACCGTTGCGACAGGTCCACCTGACGGTGGGAAGTTTAAGAAGTTGAAGTTACTGGGGGCTAATAAAGAGCTGAATTCAACCCTGGTCTCGAGTCTGATCTTTTCCCGTGACAGAACAGTCTGCACATTCCCCTGCCTCCTTGATTGATTCATTTAAGATCCAAAACATGGGGAATATTCCCATTACGGTGATTATTCTGTCCTGTGAAACAGACATCTGATTCATGTCAGTTAATCTAAAATGATGCAATGTGGTATGTGTACATGTGGGTCAGTGGTGGGATTCAATTTTTTTTTACTATTGGTTCTGTGGACGTGGCTTGGTGACCATGGTGTGGCTAGGTGGGCATGGCTTGGTGGCCGTGGCAGGGGAAAGTTACTGCAAAATCCCCATTCCCTCCCCACCCCACTAACCTGCTTTTCAGCTCCCTTTTCCTGTGCAGGGCAACAAAAGAAGACCCAGCCGATCAGCTGGGACTCAGGAGGCAAAGAATAGATGGTGGTGGGGCCAGTCAGAAGTGGTATTTGCCTGTTTTCCAAACTAGTCAAAATTTCTGCTATTCTGTCGAATACTGCCTCTGATGTAGGTATTTCTAAATATTTCTATGTTTGCAGGACATCCATACAGGGAATGTCTATGGTTTGAGAAAAAAACTGCATTGATAAAGGGCATATTCTACAACCTCTGACTCAGCATGAGGATGGCCTACTAGCAGCTTCCAAATGGCAACACCTGTACTTTGTAGTCTGCCTACAGCTTGAGGAAGTTCATGGGTGACTATCTGGAAGCATTGCTTTCCCTCTTATCCCACCAGTAGACTCTGTGTCTGAATTGTCTGCCTACCAAACTTGTGGTTCTTGATGGGTTTTGCTTTTGAAGATTCCATCTGGAACTGACTCTTCTGATCATTTCTTTCACCCCCTCAGTCATCTTTTGACTGTCAGGGACACTAGAAAAATGCTTCTTCAGCCACTTTTAAAATGGATTTTTAAGTGGATAGTTGGATGGCAAACTGGCCTAGAGAATGAGGAACCCCCTGGAATTGATTAGCCTGATTTAACATACTTAGTTAGAAGTGTAATGGAAAGGATTCCCCTGTTTTGTTTTTGTAGCCTGCCTGACAGGAAATTCCCTCCCTTTTTGTTTTCATGAAAGCATAAAATTTCATCCTAGTATCAGGCGGCAGCAGGATTTTCTGCTGGCTCTGAAATAGGAGGGGAGCCCAGAAAAGCAGCTGTGTGAGTGAGATCCAAGACTAGCCACACACATTATGCATGAATTGTATTTTCCTTACCATGCAGGACTAATTATTCTCACCAGAGCCCTGCACAAACCTTCTTCTCCATGCTGCAGTTAAAATTTCAATAGCTTAACTTGCTCACCAGTCTGAGGCCTTCGTTAAAGCATTACAGGCTTTTCCCCACAGACATTTAGAGAATTGACAGTAAGAAAGGTGTTTTAATATCTGCTTTGCCAGCCTGAATTTAGAATCAAGTCCCATAATTGCTCTACCTTTGTAATTTCCTTTACTACCTCCACACAAGTCACGTGGAAGGTTAGTTTCTGTGACCCATTGTCCCTGGTAGATAGAAGAAGTGAATTAGACTTATCTCTTTGATGAATGGATCTGAGAAACAAGCCTTGGATATTACTTTGACTTACAATCAAGCTGCTGATAAGGGATGCAGCCAATGTAACCTAGTGGTAGAAGTGTTGGTTCAGCAGTGACAACACTCAGTTTTTGGCCTCTCTTCAGGCAGGGAAGCTGCCTTGGTGACACAGGGCAACTCATGACTTTTTGATGGAGAAGGACCGCAAGAACCTCAGCATCAGAAAGTGGCTGCTGAAAGAGTGAGCACTTTATAATACTCTGTTTGAACTTCCTCTGGGAGTTCTGTAAAAGATTTCTCTCCCATGACATGATATGCGTAGCAAAGGATATGTTTTCCTTTCGTTTTCTATTGTGCTTGATATCCTTGGTAACTTGATAACTTCTCAGAAACCTTCAAGCAGACAGAGCAAATCATTCAAAATGCACTTTAATCAGTATGTTAAGAACCTTTTACAGAACAAATTAATATTGAATTTCATTGTCACAATTATCCTGGCAGTGATTGAAGAAACTACGGAACATGAATTTACCTGTGCTCCACAGCCATATAACCAGATTCATTTTGGGATATTTTTATTAGCCCCATCTGGCATTTTCTTCTTGCTGAGTTTTATTATTCAACGGTATTTTTTAAACTCATTCGATGTTAAAAAAGACAACTGGTGTTGCATGGTATGGCAGAGTTCCTTCCCCCCCTGGATGTGGTTTGTGATTGTGTTGTTGGACGGAAGGTATCTTCAGTGTGCAACGAGTACAAATCATAATGCATCAACAAAGCCAACTAATGTTGAAATGTCAGCAATATCTAAGGTAAGCTCTTGTTTCATTTTATATTTCATCTGACACTTGCCACAAAATCCTGATAAAATTCTTGTAAATTTGAAATTTGATTTGAAAATATAACATTTGTTTCGATGTTTGCTCATTAGTAAAGAAAGGCTAAGCTACATTATGGAGCTCATATTGAACTCCTAATAGATACTTGCTATTGGGAATAGAAGCTGTTTTGCGGGGTTATTTTAAATTTGAAGAGAAAGAGAGAAATTTAATCCTTTCTCTCCTAGTTGCTTTCCCGTTCTGCTGTATCTGGAAAGTGGGAAACATTAATTTATTAGTTATTCAAATGGATAAATATGGAGGTATAGAGGAGAAGCACATAACTGGGTATCCATCTTAGGTCAAGAAAGAAATTGGAAACCTATTCAACTTTTTTACTTTTGACACAACTGATAGACTGGTCTTTAGCAATAAGCTTCTTCAGATTAGTCCATGATCCATTCATCACAAAGTAGTTTGTATTCCACTGAATCTTATATTACAATTTAGTTCTTATGGAACTTCAATAATTATGATACAAGCAGATCAATTTCTGCACACCACTGTTATGTAATAGCCTGATTTTCATTAATTTCTTTGTGATGATTTGTTTTTCCTTTTGTCCTGATTTGAAAGTCTGATATGCAAAACTGCTTCCCAAATGTATATTAAAAAGCAACCTGTTGAAATAACTCCATGCATTTATTGTTCCACACATTTTTTAGGAAAACCTTAGCTTTCTTGGTGACCTCAACCCATAAATAAAATAAAAAAATTAAATTAAATTAACTATGTGAATATTTGGCATCTGGGATATCAACGACAAAATTGCTTTTGCTTTCAAATTCTGGAATATATTATCGAGTTATATTGTTAATAAAGCCTTTCTTTTTATCTCTTTCAGGTGTGTGGATTACTCTTGCTCCTAAGTATTACTATAGTAGTGTTGATAAGCTGTTGTGTCAAGAAGTCCCAGAAGTCTAATCCAGGGGTGAATGAACCTGAGAATCCAGGTAATCTTCAACATATGATCACAACTCAGCCCAACATTTCTAGGGTTAGCGTTTAAAGCAGTATTTAGCTGAGTTTTGCCCCACCTTTCGTGCCACAATTACGTGAATCCCTGCAGTTGTTTTTTTAAAAAACTATTTTTATTTTATTTTATTTAAAAAAAGTTACAATTCAAAACACCCAATAATTCAGGGGGAAAAAAGTCAGAGGAAAAACAAGAACAAGACATTGAAAAGAAAAAGGTGCATTGATTCCAGATTGTTGGAATCAATATGCTGACTTTGTAAACCACTTAGAGCAGGGGTCTGTGCTGGCTGGGGAATTCTGGGAATTGAAGTCCGCCAGGCTTAAAGTTGCCAAGGTTGGAGACCCCTGGCTTAGAGAGTCCTGTAAAGTGTAAAGCACTGTGAAGAGGTATATAAGTCTAAATGCTAATGCTATTGCTATTTAAAAAATAGACTAACACATGTATTCTGTCAAATTCTCTGCTCGAGCCATGGCATCTCAGGTTACAGCTCGTCGGTTGTTATGGCTCAGACATTGGCAAGCAGATATCAAACACAAATGGAAGCTTGCTTCATCCCCAATATTGGGAGATAATTTGTTTGTCATTGCCCTGGACCTGCTTCTGATAGAGTCAGGAAGCAAGAAAAAGATCCTCCCCTCTCTTTTCATAGATTAGAAAATAGACCCTCCCAGTCTTTTCGGAGAGGTTCCTTTCATCCCTTTTACCAGGGGCAATTCTTTCCAAAATTCCAGAGAACATCTGGATTCAAGAATAATCAACAGTCAGATAGATCCAACCTTGGAGATAGATATTGGAGTGGAGGGCAAGGTAATGAACCTTTCGTGGAGGGCAATTTTAGATTTAAAATGACTTAATCATTCCCTAGTTTATAGGAGGTTTAAAATGACTATACTGCAGCCCATCCTACTGAGCATAAGAAAGGGTGATTTTCTAATCTCCATTGATTTAACAGAGACCTATCTTCACATTTCAATTAGACCCTCACACAGCAAATTTCTTAGATTTTGTTATAATAATCAACATTTTGAGTACATTGCCCTGCCCTTTGGGCGGTCATGTGCCCCAAGGACATTTACAAAAGTTCTGGCAGCTCTAGCCGCCCATCTGTCAGACGGCAGTATCATTTGGATGATATTTTGCTGTTGTCATCTTCACATGTACAACAGAATTTGACATCATATTTGTCTGTGAAACATGGCTCAACGCATCCTTCCCTGACTTAATTACCACAGTAATTGAGTCATGTTTACCGATCAGATTGTGAAATCCATAGAGGAGGTGGTGTTGCTATCTTCTATAAAAAGTCCCTACATCTAAAAAACACCCAAATTACCCAGGAGCTTGCTCTTCCAGAGACCATCGTCTGTAAACTGTCCTTAAATATCACATTTTGATTCTTACTGTGTTACAGAGCTCCTGGTTATGACATTGAGCATGTAAACAAGTTAAATTCACTACTAACATGGGCAACCTCTTGCCCACATGCTTTGATCTTTCTTGGTGACCTCAATCTATCTTGTATTAACTGGACCCTAAACGAATGTACAACCGAATCCATACATGCAACCTTCTACAATGCTGTAACAAATCTGGGACTGGAACAACTAGTAGCCAACAACACTAAACTAAACAATTGCTTCGACCTCATCTTCTGCAACAGTTTGAATTCAATTTACAGACTACAAATTAATGAATCCTTTTCCAACAGTGACCACAGCATGACTGACTTTTGTCTCAACATTTTGTCTCAACATTATCTCACTTATGATCATATAGACAATGATCTCTCATCTCTTGATTGGCAAATTCAATTCACTGGATGCAATACTGTTGAAGACTATTACAACATATTTTTACTTGAAGTCAAAAAAAGTCATGAAACTATATGTACCAATAACAACTCCCAAAACCAGGAAAAACAAACTACCCATAACAATAAGGAAGCTCCAATCCAAAAAGAAATCCCTTTGGTGGAAAAACAAATCTGGTCACATTGCCAACTTTAAAAGCAGATACAAAAATTTATGCCACCAGATAAAGACTGAATGCACCAATTATCACATTAAACTAGAGGAAAACCTACACACCAATTCCACCCGCTCTTTCTACAATTTTGTAAAAACAAACTAAAAGACTCAAGGTCTATCCCACCCCTGAAAGGATCTAATGGTAAAGACTGCAATGATGACACCGTTAAAGCCAGCCGCTTTAACACATTCTTTGACTCAGTATTTGTAAACAGCAATAGATCATGCCCAATATTTCCTAGTCGAACCACAGACAACTACAATGATCTAATACATATTGATTTTACAGAAGACAATGTTGAAAAAGCACTACACGATCTAAAACCATCTCTATCTATTGGACCAGAGGGAATATGTGCCTACTTCTTAAAAAAGCTATCCACTGCCATAGCCGAACCTCTAAGCATAATCTTTGAAAAAATCTTTCAGGACCAGCTCCTTGCCAAACCTATGGTCACTAGCCACAGTCATCCCCATCTTCAAAAAGGGAGAGCCCAGCCTAGTTGAAAATTACAGACCAATCTCTTTATGCTGCGTCACCTGTAAAGTCATGGAATCAATTATTAACCAATCCATTATCCTCCACTTAGAGACAAACAAACTACTCTCTAACAAACAATTTGGTTTCAGAAAAAAAAACTATCCTGTAATCTGCAACTCTTATACTGCAAAAACATATGGATTACACAACATGATCAGGGCAAAACAATTGACTCAATTTACATAGACTTCTGTAAAGCCTTTGATTCAGTGGTACACAACAAATTACTCCTAAAATTAAAATCTTATGGTATTTCTGGACACCTGCATAACTAGATAGAAGCATTCCTGTCAAACAGACAACAAATGATTAAAATTGGGAGCGTCCTATCAAATTCTGTACCTGTTAACAGTGGTGTCCCCCAAGGCAGCATTCTAGGACCAACTCTCTTCATACTCTACATAAATGACCTCTGTGATCATATTAAGAGCAACTGCATTCTCTTTGCTGATGATGTAAAGCTATTCAACACCACAGACAATACTACTACCCTCCAAAAAGACCTCAACCGTGTGTCAGAATGCTCAAACAAATGGCATCTTTAAATCTCAACAAATAAATGCTCTGTCTTACATATTGGCAGAAAAAAAATCAAAAAATAAAATACAAGCTAAATAGTCAAGACCTTGCTGATGACCCAAACTTTGTCAAGGACCTTGGAGTACTCATCTCAAATGATCTAAGTGCTAGAGCCCACTGTAACTACACAGCCAAAAAGGCATTAAGAGTTGTAAACCTAATCCTGCATAACTTTTTCTCTGGTAATAACACTCTACTAACTAGAACATACAAAACATTTGCTTGACCTATACTTGAATACAGCTCATCAGTCTGGAACCTGCATTACATATCTGATATTAATTCAATTGAGAAAGTCCAGAAATATTTCACAAGAAGAGTTCTCTACTCCTCTACTCATAGCAGAATACCTTATGCTATCAGACTTGAAATTTTAGACCTAGACAACCTAGAACTACGCCACCTTCGGTTCGATTTAAAATTATATATTGCAATGTCCTACCTGTCAATGAGGACTTCAGCTTCAACCACAACAATACAAGAGCACACAATAGATAAAAACTCAAGGTAAACTGCACCAAACTTGATTGCAGGAAATACGACTTCAGCAACAGAGTGGTCAATGTCTGGAATACTCAACCTTCCCCAAACCCCCAAAACTTTAACCTTAGACTGTCTACTATTGACCTCACCCCTTTCATAAGAGGTCTTTAGAGGGCATGCATAAGCGCACCAATATGCCCACCGTCCCTGTCCTATTGTTTCTTTTTCTTATTCATATCCATTTCATGTATTCATAGCCATGTTTATACTTATACCTGTTATCTAATAATCACTTGACAAAATAAAATAAATAAAATAAAAATATATACATATTGTTGTCCCTAGTTGAATGTTGATTAATGTATTACAATATTAGTTTCCCCTTGTAAAACAGGTCTAAAGGATTTAAAATTACTAAACTACTAATTCTATTTACAAATTGTTAATCTATCATCTATATAGTACAGTATATCAATAAGAAGGAAGCTTTTTATATAATTATCAGGAACAATTGTAATAATATAAAAAGATTAGATTAAAATTCCAAAACCCTCTTTTAACAAACTGTTATTGTAAACAACTCATGGCAAATTTATCACAGCTTTATTAACTATCCCAAATCATTCCCCAAATTAACCCAATCAAATACCCACATTTGTTTCTTAATACCATCTCTTATCAATTGTTGTTTGATTGACAATAATAAATCCAACTTCCAAAGCCAATCTATCTTCCCAAAAAAGTCCAGTTGAAATTGTTCCCCAGTTAAATGTGATAAAATCATTCCCCAATCCTCTTCAACCCACTTAACAAAGACCAATTTACCACTTAGCCATCTAGACAGTTTTTTATGTAGAAATTCTGACCTGAACTTCAGGAAGGTGTTTGAAGTTTGTTGGGTATATGGATACACCAACTAGTTTGGGTGAATGAATATATA